AAGTATGTATTTATGTTTTATATCGATTTTCAATATTATGATTGTATATCCCTATATGAACGAGACATCTGTGGATTCCATTAGAAATATGACATCTAATATCCTAAAGTAAAATGAAATAGGTCATATTTATATACTGTGAAACTCTCAAATATATCCTGATAGTTGTATTGTAGTGTAGGGTGTCTAAATGGAGACGTTGTAGTTAAAATGGACAGACGTATAAATATACATCGGCACTACTTCATAGACCACAGAGGACACACTTTCCTATGGAGCACGATAGAAATGACCAAACAGCTGAACGGGCTAGAAGGGCACTAGTAACAATACATTTATAATGGAACATTATCGAACAAAACAGTTTGAAAAATTCATCAAGTATTCCATAATGAATATGCGTCCCCTTACTCACGTAAACTGGAGATTGTGTTTTGTAAAATGGGTTAGCGATACTCCGTTCTCTTGAACTTTCATAAGCAGCACTATCCCAATCAAGCTGCCGTGGTCTATGTTTAAAATGTTCAAAGCTTTTTACCATACACATTCATTTTGAATGCCCAGTTAACAAAATACCATATCCCGATCACTTTGTTAGTCCAATATTTGGTTAGTAACTGCTATAATTCAAGCACTGATTCCCCCTCACACATTGGGCTCGTGTGAAGTAAAACTCGTGGTTTGCTAAACGTAAACGTATTGCATAAAAATAATATGCCTATACTATCAGTTTAATATCGCCATAGACTAGTAAATTGGAAGATATGTTATGCACAACTATGTTCACCTCTGTCAAGTGTAAGCCAAGGGGGGGCCATACTATATATCCATTCAAACGGACAAAAGGCCTATAGAAAAAGATCCTTAAGCCTTTTGTAAATCTTTTGTATTGGATATAAATAATGAAAATCTGTTTGACATTGTATGATCTCTTTCTTATTGATATATATTTTAGGTAGATTTATGTACTGAATTGCCAACCCTTTATACAGGGAAATTTGAATCCCGGCAATCAGGGCCGAAAAGACTCGTTTCTTAGTTCGAAAGGACGTCAGTGTGGTTATCAAAAAACGTATCTATAGTCGTTTGGGTTGAGCGAAAAACCCACATGTGCAAATTGGTGGTGCATTTCGACATTGAAGACGAGTATTATGATACTCTCTATAGAAATAAAGAACCGTTTTCGTACTCGATTGAAATTACAATGCACTTTCAATGACTGCTTTAAAATTAAGAAAAACCCACCGAAATGCCTTATATTACACACCTTTCCAAATCTGCACCTTAGATCGTTCTACTGTAGGTATATATTGGTGACAAGACTTTTACAGTGGACTCTGTCCAACCCGACATCGTATGGGATCGTCATAATATGTCGGATTATGCAGTGTCCGAATACTCAGTTTTCTCAAAACCGGAAGTATTATTATAATGTGGCTTCGAAACCCTAGAACGTTATTCCCTTTTTTGGCTTAAGTATTAAGGAAATAAATCGGGACATGAAAATGATGTCGGACTTCACAGAATGACATAGTATTCAGATGTCGGATTTGACAGAGTCCACTGTAATTGGTCTCTTTTCTTGGCGCTACAGATCACAAATAGCTACAACTGACATGTGGATATCATTGCACGACACTGACTCTATATCCGATGAGCGTTCCGTGGAGTTTTGTGCCAACGGGCTGCCACCCACCCCCAAAAAAAGAAATAAATTAAACCAGTGGTTGCCAGGCAAGATACGGCCAAATTTTGCAAGAGACGGAGAGAGAACAAGCTTAAAAAAGTGATTTTTCATACAATCAGGAGCTATAATCCAAAAAGTTATGGTCTGAAATGCGCGTATATCGAAAGGGTCTGAGATCTTTGGGATATAATTATAAAGATATATTTTAAGTTTCATCAAAATCAAATCGGGCAATTTTTGTCCGATTTCCATGTAATTTGAACTTAACCGTCATTATGGTGTATCGGTGATACATTTAAACGTATTTTAAAATCGGATAAAAATTGTGAGCTCTAGAGGATCCACAACGCTAAAAAAAAAACGTGATTTTTCGTACAATCAGAGGCCATAATCCAGGAAGTTACGATCCGATATGAGCAAATATAGAAAGGAACCAAGATTTTTGGGTTATAAACAGGCATTTCAAGTTCCATTAAAATGAAATGAAAATTTTGCCCCCTAGAATGTCCGCAGGCTAAAAACGTAATCTTTCGTACAATCAGGGCCCATAATCCATGAAGTTATGGTCCGATACATGCCAATATTGAAAGTAACCGAGGTTTTAGGTACAAGTTTCATCAAAATCGGATAAAAATTATGACCTGTATACTGTCCACAAACAAATTGTGGACGGACGGACGGGCGTCCGAACGGACAGGGGCGATGGCATGAAAATGTGGGCATATAAAAACACCGAGTAAACCAAAGAAATGTTCAGATATTCTTTTTTGAAATACTTCTTGTGTCGATTTGATGCCAAAAGGCATCCTACAGAAACAATATCTTCCGAATGGCGCATTAAAAGTAGCGAGAAACTGACTTGTTGTATCTAAGGCAGTCTGCCAGTACCCACTATAAGCATCTAGTTTAGCAAACCACTTGGCCTCGGACATACGCGCAGTAATATCTTCAATGGTTGGTAAATCAAAATGCTCTCTTTTGAGATCGCAACGTTTAAGCGTCTAGGGTCGAGCCACCAAGTGAGTTAACCAAGTCGGTAGGTACATCACCTTGGTTGCTGTTTTTCACGAAGCGCGACTGGAACTTTCCTGGCAGGGTTTATCACTTGAATTAGCCTACCAACGGGTCAATTTCAATGTGATGTATGGTCACTTTAAGCAACCTAAACCGTTGAAAACTGTAGGGTACTGTTTAACAACATTCAATACTACAGTATATTGTTAACATTCATAAACCGCTTTAATTACTTAAACCCAGTTCTTGAGACGACCTGAGCCTCAGTAGTGGAGATTGGTTGGATTATGTTACATAAAACTCCAGGTTTTTATCAATCTGATTAAAATACAGATCTATATTGTTTTATACTCTCTGAGGCCTACACTACATGAAGATCTGACAAGTTAGACTCGAAGGTCGTGTCAGGGGTCATTACGAGTGGCTTTTGACCCTATGACGTCAGACACTGATTAATCAATCAGCGTTGACGTTTCTAGTTGTTTACCCACAGTTCCGTGCATGGCACGCCAAGAAGTCGCCGTAATTACAGACCGTTTCATTGTCTAATCCCTCACTTCAACCAAACCGCCGGTATAACAACTCTTCCAGATCATAGTGTAGTGAAGACAAGTAAAACGAAATTTTGAACTTTAAAAAACGAAACGAAATAGGATCTGTGTTTTAATCAAATTGGGTTTTTATTTTCTACTTTTAAGTGACATTTAAACTTCGTGGATATTATCAAAATCTTCATTTATGTCTTTTCATGGAACTTATCAGGTCCATGATTTCTAATTTGTGCTTTTGAAAGTTCATCCGCACAATCGATAAAGCCTTGGCCAAAGTCAGTTTTTCATGATCTTTTCGTAACAAGCCCTCTTTAACCTTTTGATTATTGGTTCCACAAATAATTCTGTCAATTATTAACCTAATTGATCAGTCAAATGTTCAAATTTACATATTTTTGCAATTAACTTTATGTCGGTCAAATTCGGTTTGTTTTTACCTTGCAACAGCTATCAAATTTCTCGATCAAAGGCTGCAGAACAGTAGGACACTAAACCCTATTTCATTTTATTTAAAGGAGCTAAGTCGCTAATATTTGGGACCTAGAAATTGACAATAATGTAATATGAATGTATATAAACTGATTTACATTCAATCATTTCGGTTTTTACTGTAATTTCTAATCAGATAAGTTCGGCGAAATACGCCAGAAATCCCAATCGAATGGCTCTTTCCAGAGTCTGGTTATACCAATCTACACCGAATTTATTTATTCCGCATGCTCTCCAGATAAGAATATAGCGTCATCGTTTGACATGACTTATGGAATATGTCTAGCCTCGATCAAAGGCTGCAGAACAGTAGGACACTAAACCCTATTTCATTTTATTTAAAGGAGCTAAGTCGCTAATATTTGGGACCTAGAAATTGACAATAATGTAATATGAATGCATATAAACTGATTTACATTCAATCATTTCGGTTTTTACTGTAATTTCTAATCAGATAAGTTCGGCGAAATACGCCAGAAATCCCAATCGAATGGCTCTTTCCAGAGTCTGGTTATACCAATCTACACCGAATTTATTTATTCCGCATGCTCTCCAGATAAGAATATAGCGTCATCGTTTGACATGACTTATGGAATATGTCTAGCCTCGTTCTTCGAGCCCCTTAATTTGTTACAAATGTCTGAAACGCACTATGGTACACGATTCGTGTACCAATGGTAAAATGTTTATTTTGTCTTAAATAGAAGCCCACCTTTTTCCGGTAAGATTACAACATCAATGTTGATTTAAATAGACAAATAATCAAATAATTTAAAATAATTTGTGTCTTAAATGTTGAAGAATATGGATGGTATTGAATTAGAGACTTAGCTACTTTAAGATAAGGGTCAGACCGTAAATGGGGCGGGGGGGGGGGGGGGTGCGGAATGATTAGCGTGTGCGCGCTGTATCATAAAGTCTGTCATTGAGTCAACTCGCGTGGTTTCGATTCCCCGATTGTATATAGGCCTACGTGACAAGGAGTAGGATCGTCTGTCCACCTTCGTGGGTTTTCTCCGGGTCCTCCGGTTTCCTCCCACTGCAAAAGACCCCTACGCGCAAACGAATTATTGAAATAAATTGAATCATATGTTTGTCTCGAAATGACCTAGATTCTGTCGAGTGGACGTTAAACCACATCTCTCTCGCTCTCTCTCTCTCTCTCTCTCTCTCACCGTAAATGGGCAAGATCATAAATTAAGCCTTTGACTGAATAATCGAGACTTTCTAAACAAGAGTTGTCTCCCATTAACAAAATTTCAACATGGCCGACATCAAGCACAAGTTGAAAAAATACAAGCAGTATTTTGAAGCAAACCCCGATGGTGATAAGGTAGACTGTCTAGAAAATAAATGGACCTTGTCGACCCAATGAATATTTAGTAATATTCCAAATTTCAGACCCATGAGTAAACTATTTTGGGAGATATTTCCACTAGAAGGTCGGCAAACTAGGAATGGACAAATTTTGACCAGGACGACACGACAATTCACTTGTGACGTGCATGATTATAAACATAGAAATAATTTTGCTTATGTTGCACTTTTTCTTTCATATATTCAATTGCAATTGATTTGAGTCTATGCAGTGGCTGCGAAGTTCGACTGAGTTCTCGATTTGCCTTTCCTTTAGCCTAGTGGAGGCCATGTTCATGTCATGTTTAATGTTAATAATGTTGCGGATAAATTCAAGAATCTAATATTGGCTTCAAAATTATGAGACATAACGTCCTGTCATAGCACAAGTAACATAAATAATACAGCTTTAAAATTATAACTCAATCTTCCTTTTTATGGTATGCCTTTGTGCGGTCAAATTGTTTGAGAAATTCCAAAAAGTTTAATATAGCTAGACTTGCCTAGAGAAATACAGGGGAAAAAAAAGCAATTGCGACATTTAGATTGACCCAGTCTTTCACTCCAGTTAAACATGCACTATGCAAGAGCTAAATAGGCCTTAAATAAAAATGTTATCTTTAAGTTGTTAATTAGACGGGGGGTTGGATGGCTGAATGGTAAGCGCGCGCGCGCTGTATCATAAAGTCTGGCATGGTTTCGAATCCCCGGTTGTATGTGGCAAGGAGTAGGGTCGCCTGTCCAACCCCGTGGGTTTTCTCTGGGGCCTCCGGTTTCCTCCCACTGCTAAAGACCCCTACGCGCAAGCGAATTATGTAAATAAAATTAAACCATATGTTAGTCCCGAAATGACCTAGCTAGTTTGTGTCGAGTGGACGTTAAACCCCATTTCTTTCTCTCTCTCTGTTAATTAGACATAAATTAACTTATTAAGACCATGATCAAATCTTAATGCCATATTAAGTGAATTTGAATACTTTTTGTAATGGATGATTTAACGTAAAAGTGGATAATCAGGACTCTGTTTATTATCGTACAAACTGTAGTAATGACGATTGAGACTAGCCTAAAATTGAATCGCTAATACTGTATCTTTGTTGAGAGTGAAGCAATTTGACATAAATTTCAGCATATACTGTTTTCATTATCAATTTTTTTAACTATTATAGCGAGGACTGTCAGCTCTTTATCTAATCTTAGCTAATTTCCCTTTAATGCAGAAGTATCCAAACTAAAACAGGTCCTCTTCACATTGTATACAGTGCATGTAAACAGTCTAAAACTGCCAAACCATAATTAGAATAAAAGTTAGTTGCTGCCTTAGTTAGATTAGCACCTGGAAATTAAAGTCTCAAAAAATATTTAGGGTAATACTGCATGCCTACTTAAATAACAAATGCCAGGCTGACTAGGAAGATGTGAATATATCTGTTGGATGGCACAAAAGACCAATATCTCTTGGCTATATTAGTGGCATTGAGCACATTGAGAGACAGAGAAATGGGGTTTAACATCCACTCGACACAAACTAGGTCATTTCGGGACTAACATATGGTTTAATTTTATTTCAATAATTCGCTTGCGCATAGGGGTCTTTAGCAGTGGGAGGAAACCGGAGGACCGGGCGACCCTTACTCCTTGCCACATACAACCGGGGATTCGAAACCACGCCAGTCGACTCAATGACAGACTTTATGATACAGCGCGCGTATGCTAACCATTCAGCCATCCAACCCCCCTGAGCACATTGAAACACAACACAATTTATATGGAAATAACAATCACTGGTTTGTACACATGTAGCACAACATTTCAACAAGTATCCTCTTGGCTGTTAGAATTTAAAGAAGTGTGGGTTGAAAATGGTGGTTCAAAAAAAAATTCTTCTGTTTTCATTTTATCAGAAAAATTTAATAATATATTATTATATGTTAGTTTCAAATTAACCAAAGTTTCTTGTAGACAATATGGTGAACAAAATTCTTCACTTTAATTGGCTTAAATATTTAAGTTGATATGAAGTTGAACGGTTACATTTTATTTTTCTAGAATTGATAAACAAATGATAATTTGTGTAATTTTTATTGTTTGTATTTTCAGGTGTTATCAGTATTAAGAAAGTTAGATGCTCTGCCTGTATCTATTGCACTGTTACAGGTAAGAATCATGTGTGCATTACATGTACCATCTATAGATTACGGTACTGTTTATTATGGTACTGAGCGACACTATATAAGAAAATATCTCAACCAACAATGACTGCTGAAACACTTTAGTTGTGTTTAACTGCATCAAGATTCTACTCACACAACCTCCTTTGTTTGGAGTGACAGTACTGAATTGCCTGTCTCTCGATTGCAATTCTGTCAATTTCATATTGACAACCGAGCATCCCTCTAGTTACTTGTTTATCACTAATTGTAAAGATAACATGATGAGATCAAATAAAATAAAATTAAAATGAGTATTTTGTGACCATCTGGAAAAAATTTGTTGGTCTCAAATTCACCTCAATGATGACTATATGGGATATGATTTTCGGAAAAAAATTACTTATAAATAAACCTCTTTTCTTGTTTTAGGATACAGGCATAGGAAAGGTGGTCAATAGTTTCCGTAAAAAGCCTGATGAAATTGGTGCCTTAGCCAAATCCATTGTAGCGAAATGGAAGACGCTTGTTACTCGAGAAGCGAAAAAAACGACACAGCAAGTAGAATTGAACGAAGAACAGTATGTTCCTGATTCGAGTCGGAAACCACAAAAATATGAAGTAACTTATAAGCCTACTCCAATTGGAGAAGAGAGTCCATCTGGTAATGAATACAGTCCTCAACATGTGGAACAAAGTTACAGCCCAGAGCGTCTTCCAAGAGAAGAGTCCATAGAACCACACTACAGTCCTGGTAAACAATCTGAAGAAAACTCAGATGATGAGGAATACCATCCTAGAAGTCTGTCTCCAAAATATTCTAAAAAGGTTGGCTACAGTCCCACAAGAATAGGTGATCGTCCATCAGAAGGTGAGGATGAAGAATATGACCCTGAAAATGTAGCAGTTAGCAATGATCAGGTGTACAGTCCTAAAAGTGTTTCTGACAATGATGCATATGATGTTGCTACTCCAGAAGCATCTGCAAGTGAACAATCTGCATCTGAAGATGAAGAGTACAATCCGTCCTGCGTAACCAAAGAATCAAGTAAATATCAAGCTTCATACACACCCACTCCTATATCGGAATCAGACAAACCACATAAATCTAGTAAGGACTCTAAGTATAACAAAAAAGACAGTTCTAGTTCAGGTAAATATCAAAGTAATAGTTCAGATAGAACAAAACATAGTTCACATGGTGATAAACATAGTTCACATAGTAAACAACATAGTTCACACAGTGATAAAAGTAGTTCACACAGTGATAAACATAGTTCACACAGTGATAAACATAGTTCAAAAAATGATAAACAGTCCACTGGAAACGATAAATATAGTATTAAAAGTCATAAACAAAGTTCCAATCAGGACAAACATGATAGTTCAAAAGTTAAACAAAGTTCTAAAAATGATAAACAAGACAGTGAAAAATATAGAAATGGCAGTTCATCATCCAATCAGAGTGTCAACACATCTAGTAGTAAAAAATCGTGTGATAAAAAGACTAGCAGCTCTGATAAAAAGACTACTAGCAGTGATAAACATTCTAGCTCAAATGCTAAAGATTCTAGACATAGCGATAAAAAGTCTAGCTCATACGATAAAGATAAATCTTCTGTTGAGGGACATAAAAAGTCTATTTCAGTTAACACACTACCTAGTTCTAGCGATAAAAGGCCCAGTTCTGGTGATAAACATTCTAGTACTAGTAATAATAAGCCAAGTTCAAGCAGTAAACATTCTAGTTCCAGTGATAAAAAGTCTAGCATCAGTAATAACAGACCTAGTTCTAGCAATAAACATTCTAGTGATAACAGAACTAGTTCTAGCAGTAAACATTCCAGTGATAAAAGTCCTAGGTCTAGCGAAAAGCTTTCTAGTTCCAGTGATAAAAAGTCTAGTAGTGATAAACTTTCGAGCAACGAAAAAGCTACAAAAAAATCTAACCATCAACACACTGAAATTAAAAAGTCTAAATCGGACAAACCAAAAAGTGAAAAACGAAAAATACAACCTATGGTTGATACTTCAGATTTATTTAGTCCAGATGAAACTGCGGTCATTAAAAAAGTCAAAGCTGTGCATCGAAAACCGGAAGAAAATACGAAATCCACGAAAAACATATCACATGATGAGAAAAAGGACTCTAAAAGTAAATCTTCATCTTCAAGTGCTGTTAAATCACACAGTAAGGCAAAACTTGATAAAACAAGCTCAGATTCAAAGTCTAGTTTTTCCACTAAAGGAGAAAAAAGAAAAAAAGACGAAGATGGAGATGAGATAGAACCAGCAAATGACATCACAGAAGGGTTTTCTTTTGATGATTTCTTAAATTGTGATGTAAAGGCTGTAAAAAAGAAACCCAGAAAAGATGTTATCCCAGATCTGAAGCCAACTGGAACAAAATGGTCGTCCAGTCTCGTGTCATCAAAACCTTCAACATCCAGACGTGCCAAGAATGATGATCTTCCTTCAACAAGTTTCAGCATGCCTTCCCCAGCGAAACAGGTAAATCTTTCAATTAATTTAGAGCATAAAGATATAGAATAGAATTTTTGGACAAGCCACTGGTCCCTGAGCACTACTAACATTGTTGTTCTTGGTGGTGACAATCTTCGAAAAAAAAAGCTTTGGGTTCCACCAATTTACATACGATTGACATGTTCCTAGAATGAAATGGGAGTTTAACATCCTACTGTTCTGCACCGACTGGGTTAATGGAGACGTACGTACATACAGCCATACATCGTGCTATGAGGGAAAATCACCTGGACATTGGCACTGTCGCTTATTCTTATTTTGAATTCCAACTGTCTGTATTTGTTTTACGTGCACATGAGCTCGGGTTTTAGTCCCATCCGAACAACGAGACATAGTTCTTGCCAGGCCGTCCGTCCTGCACCACTGACAAAGGGGAACCACATCAGAAAATCTCAATGAACTTTTCCTGCCAACCCCGGGATGTAACAGAGGACCTCCCCTACACTCTTTGATGATTTCTGTTAAACGGTTTCACCTAAAAGTCCCCGTATTACATAGTCAACACCAAATATAAATTTGTAGACAATAGTGCAATAGTAGAAAATAGTCCTACCAAAGAGTTAAACAATTATTAAAATTACTCATTTAAAGATCATATTACTTACTAATGATTCCAGGCTGCCATCTTTATTTCTTTGTAATGATCTGCCGTAGTCTCAGTCACCCAGAACCTCCTAGTCTTCAACGTACGGAGTGTCTGAGACCGTTGTCAATATTTGACGTAAAGTCCATTGTCCATGCGTAACCAGGAGTTTGGTTTTTAATGTGGTTGATTATCCAGTATCTTTGACCAAGTCAAGTAAGAGTTGCGCCCCTTCCGCAATAAATCCCATAATTCTTGCATTAATATAAACAAACATGAATCGTGACATTATGGCCCATGAAGAGAGAAATTTTACAATAAAAAAAATTATGAGTGTTGGATATTGAACTGGCATGCAATCAAATGAATTATTTGAAATGGCATTCTTAAATTAATTTCATGGGCGTCATCATCTTGTTTTAGAACGAGTTATCTCCCTTAGACGTTGTTGATGATAATTTAAATGACGGGATAATCTAGCCAATGACCTATTATTCTCAAACGTTGACAATGCATCCAGACTAATATTCGTAGAATATTTTCTGGATGATAGAGATTAGATCTGCCGATGTCTAGATTAAACCTCATTTCTATCCACAAAACACAAACATCGAGGTGAAGATGATTTCTAGCCTTTCTTTTGTTTTTATCATCTAAAATTTTATCCTTTTTTCGAATATGGAAAATGATGACAACTCATTTGCTGTTTGTGCTAATTCGAATTTACATGCATGTATCTAAGCCACTTTTAAAGATTAATGGGGGGTGGGGGTGGATGGCCGAATGGTTAGCACGTGTGCGCTGTATCATAAGGTCTGTCATCGAGTCAACTGGCTTGGTTTCGATTCCCCAGTTGTACGTGTACGTGTACAATAAACATCTTCGGATATATAATTTAGATTTGTCTGTAGTTGTTTTGAATTTATTACCTTTGTGTCTTAATTTTAAAGATGAATGAATATGTTAAATACCAATTTAAATATATTTAAATTTAGATTTATGTATATTTGTTTTGGATTTTTGACCTTTTGTCTCATTTTTTGTATAATATGATATGTGTCTTTATTTTGTAGAAGATTGATATCCATGAATCAGATATTTTAGATTTACTCCCAGAAACTAATGCACATTACCGTCCATTATCCAAAATTCCTGAGAGAAAACTAGGTTTGTTGAAATATATTATACTTTAGTTTGTTGTTTTAAGGGGACATTGGATTCAAAATGGGGTTCTTATCCTTTCTTGGGTTAAGAGTACTGTGGTTATTTACCAAGACTAATTTTCAGGGGGGTTGGATGGCTGAATGGTTAGCCGCTGCGCTGTATCATACGGTCTGTCATTGAGTCAACTGGTGGGGTTTCGATTCCCCGGTTGTACGTGACAAGGAGTAGGGTTGCCTGTCCAACCTTGTGGGTTTTCTCCGGGCCCTCCGGTTTCCTCCCACTGCTAAAGACCCCTACGCGCAAGCAAATTATTGAAATAAAATTGAACCATGTGTTAGTCCCGAAATGATCTAGTTTGTGTCGAGTGGATGTTAAACCCTATTTCTCTCTCTCTCTCTCCCAAGACTAATTCTCACTTTTCTGCTTCTGAGACTGAGAAGGAAAGTAAGTTCTTCGTTCAAATGGGACATGGTTGAAGTCTCTGGGTGATGATCGTGATCAATTTTATGTTTATTTAGTCCATTGATTATGTTTATAGCTAGTCAGCATCAGTATAGATATCTACAGAGATGGGGTCCAGACAGTAAAGAGATAACAATTTTTAGCATTATAGTATATTAAAATCCAGATTTAAGTGTTTTTGCAGTAAAATGTTTAGCTACATTTAGTATCCGATTTTATGAGTTGGAACTGACTGACCTTTTTACAAGCTGATTTGTTTAATGACTAATTATTAATTATTTTAGATATGGCCACGTTTGATCCTATGGTGATTGGAACTAAAACAGGAAAGAGAACGATGGTCTACTCAGGAAAAAAACACGGACTGACAGGTACATACAACAAAGTTTATATATATGTATATTTGTAAACCTATTGCTAAACTGGAGGTTCAATGTTTGTTCCCTGTGTTGGCAGAGAAGTTCATTGGGATTTTCTGGCTTTGGTTCCCCCTTGTCAGTGGTGTAGGACTGAGGGCTTGGTAATGGACAATGTATAGCCATTTGGATGAGATGAGAAACCGAGGTCCTGTGTACACTTTGGCGTGCCCGTTAAAGGAAATAAGAGTAGGCCGTAGCGCCGCTGTCCAGGCCAAACCACATCTTGACAGATTTTCTTTCAGATCTAATCATGCCATGAATAGGACATCTTGGTGACATTTTTCAGATGTTGTTCCCTTTAGCAGGACTGACTAAAAAAGTGGATCACTATTTATTCATTCAAATGTTATAAAAAAAACCTGAGGTCTGCCAATGTACACATTTAGGACTTCAGTAACACATTAAAGAGAACCTTATTATTATTTTTTGTTGCAGAAATGAAGCCATTGTTTGGATTGTGTATGCAAGTATTAATAGACAATATTGATGGTAAGTATTTCTATTCTTTATTTAAATATAGATTGAGTTTTAAATATATATGAAAATGTCAGTTATATTAGTTATGATACTAATTTACTTTCATATGGTTTCTGTATATTTGAAATATTTTGCACATAGATTCAGCCAATTTTGCTGTATTTATTAAAGTAGCTAAGTCTCTAACTCAATATCATCCAAAATCTTCGACATTGAAAACAAGATTTATTTGTCAGTTTAAATCAACATTCATGTTGTGATCTTACCGGGAAAAGATGGCCTTCTGATATCCAATATTTAAGACAAAACAAACATTTTACAATTGGTACACGAATCGTGTACCATAATGCGTTTCAGCGCTATGTGTAATAAGGGACTCGAAAAAAGAGGCTAGGCATATTCCACAAGTCATGTCAAACGGTGAAGCTATATTCTTATCTGGAGAGCATGCCCACCAATAAATACTATCGGCGTAGACTGGAATAACCAGAAGCCAGAGATTGAAATTCGATTGAGAATACTGGCGTATGTCGCCTAACCTAACTGATTAGAAATTACAGTAAAAACAGAAACGATTGAATGTAAATCAATTTATATACATTCATATTACATTATTGTATGTGTTGCGACCCATTTGTGTCAATTTCTAGGTCCCAAATATTAGCGACTTAGCTCCTTTAAGTCAAAATTTGCTGCATATTTATACAAATGTTGAAGATGTACTTCAATGACCACTGTAGCCACATGAAAAATTTATGCGGCCAAAGTTATTGTCAGGTTTCGTTATTGGAATGAGAAGAACATTCAGGATTTTTCGAGCTTCTATTCAAACTTGTCAGGACTAACAAGGACATTGCCTGTAGTCTAACCAATTTCATTGGAATGACAACCAGTATGTTTTCCCCTTCAGTGGTGTAGGAAGGGTGGCCTGGTTAGGATCATTGTCTAGTTGGTTGGATGAGAAGGGAAAAATACAAGGTACCATGGATACATAGCTGTGCAGTGTGCACATAAAAGAACCCTTGGTAATTGGAATTCGATGAAGGGTAGGTGGAAACTCCACCCTCCAGATAAAATTTGCATTCATGAGCCCAGTAGTACAATCTGATTAAAATACAGATCTATATTTCGTTTCGTTTTTTTTATACTTTCTATAGCCTACACTACATGAAGATCTGACAAGTTATAGCGATAGGTCACGTCAGGGGTCAAAAGACCGACTTATGACCCTATGACGTCAGACATTTGATTAACCAATCAGCATTGATGTTACTAGTGGATTACCCACAGTTCCGTGCAAAACACGCCTAAAGCTCGACATAACAGACCGTTTCATTGGCTTATCCCCGACACCATTCAGAATACGAGTTAAAGAACAACTCTTCCAGATCCTAGTGTAGTAAAGACAAGTAAAATGAAATTTTGAACTATAAAAACGAAACGAAATAGGATCTGTGTTTTAACCAGATTGCCTAGTAGTGCAGAAAAGTTTGAGATTAAAACCTGTAGCATTGTCAGATGAGATATTTAAACCAGTATTACTGATTACATTCTAATTTTTATAATATACAGCTTTAGATTATGTTGGCTGTATACCATATGAGATATTAAAACCAGTATTAGAGAGATGTACAGTACAACAATTACTGAGATTAGAAGATTTAAATCCTGTAAGTTTTTTTGTCCCCCGCCTTTCGAAGAAAGCAGGGGACTATTAAAATGGGTTCGTCCGTCTGTCTGTCTGTCTGTCCGTCTGTCTGTCCGTCTGTCTGTCCGTCCGTCTGTCTGTCCGTCACACTTTTTGGGACACAATAACTCTCTTCCTAATTGAGCTAGAATGTTCAAACTTGGTGTATGTGTTTATTAGGTCAATGCCTTGATGGAGTTCGAAGATGAGCATTTTCCGCTTAGGGTAAGCAGAGATAAGCAATTTGATTGGTTGATGCTTTGGGACACGATAACTCTCTTCCTAATTGGGCTAGAATGTTCAAACTTGGTGTATGTGTTGATTAGGTCAATGCCTTGATGGAGTTCGAAGATGAGCATTTTCCGCTTAGGGTAAGCAGAGATAAGCAATTTGATTGGTTGATGCTTTGGGACACGATAACTTTTAATTGAGCTAGAATGTTCAAACTTGGTGTATGTGTTTATTAGGTCAATGCCTTGATGGAGTTCGAAGATGAGCATTTTCCGCTTAGGGTAAGCAGAGATAAGCAATTTGATTGGTTGATACTTTGGGGCACGATAACTCTCTTCCTAATTGAGCTAGAATGTTCAAACTTGGTGTATGTGTTGATTAGGTCAATGCCTTGATGGAGTTCGAAGATGAGCATTTTCCGCTTAGGGTAAGCAGAGATAAGCAATTTGATTGGTTGATGCTTTGGGACACGATAACTTTAGTTCTAATTAAGTGAGATTGATGAAACTTGGTGTATAGATTTATTATATGAATACCTTAACTAAGTTCGATAATGAACATTTTTTGCTGAGGGTAAGCAGAGTGATAAGCAATTTGATTGGTAGAAACTTTGGAACACAATAACTCTCCTTCTAATTGAGGTAGAATGTTCAAACTTGGCATAGGTGTCTATTAGGTGAATGTTTAAACTTGATGTATATGTAGATGTTCATTAGGTGAATGTCTTGACTGAGTTCAATAATTAACATTTCGAGCTGAAGCTAAGCAGAGCTAATCGATTTCATTTGTCGATGGTTTGGGACAAGATAATCTTGATTCTATCTGATAGAGAGTGATGAAACTTAGTGAAAAAAATAAATGTGCGATTAATTAATATGTGTCATCTATTTATTTTGCAATTTCGGCGGGGGACATCAGCCTCACTGTTGGCTTGTTATTTACAGTAAAACCTGTCTGTTATAACACCAGTTGAGTTACACCACCTAAAAAATGTTTTTGTGTCTCTTGTATAATGTTTTTTATTCTTATATGGTTTGGTCATAGTAAATTATAGGACCCACAAAATTAATTTATCCCCCAATAATACATTCTACAGTAGATATTGCTTGTGTGATCCATTTCATAATCTACTGCGATATCTCCTCAGGAGATATCGCTTTACATGAATTTGATTGGTCAGTTAAAAAGTAACTTCTTTTTTTTATATTAAAAATGAACTATTATTATTTAATTGACCTTGATGGAAACAATGGGTCAATATAAAGGACTTTGCAATGGTTGAATTGCTGTCAAAAAATGATGTATCACCCTGTAATGTAATCAGGTTCAGTAAAAGTGAAATCTATAGCAAAGAATTATATTTATTTATTTGTGCATGTAAGAAAGGATTTGGGTGATAAATAAAATCTCCTACTCATCCTTTTTTATATTAAAAAGACTTGTAGGAGATTCTCTATATCTCAAGAACATTAGTATAAAGATCTTTTAGATAATACCAGTAAGGTCTAGTTAAACATTAATAAAAAATGAAAACTGTTCCAAAAAAATGTCAGGCTTTCTCTAATCAAAGATTAGGTTTTCTCTAATCAATGATTTAAGCAGATATCATCATCTTTTATCATTGAGTTTACTTACAATTTTTACTGTCTTCTTACTTTTCATTCTGGCAAAATGTGCCAGAAATTTAAAGTCATCTGTGTCACAGTATTTTTATATTATTATACAGTAGTTTAAGGGAGATTTAAAATCCCTCAGATTTAACTCGGCAGTACCACGATCTAGCATAATTTATATTACTGTATGTTAGAGAACAAATAAAACGTGTACTTGCTCGCATTAATTTCCTGATTACATGTTTCATTTTAGCATTTTGTCGGAGATACTGAAGAGTTATGGGCTATACATTGCGAAAGAGATTTCAAAAGAGAACAGCCAGATGAAATGGAAGCATGGAGAGAAATGTATTTGGTAAGAATATTTGTCATGTCAGTGTATGAATAGGGGTTCTTAATCCATTTTGAAACGAAGGGTTATTATAAGCTCCCATTCCCGTTAAAGCTACAATTTCATATTTTTAAGTTAAATTTTTAAAATTTATTAAAATAAAGCCTTAAAATAGATGGTATCCATAAACCGTCCTACCTTGTTAAAGAATAACCCTATTAATCCTATAATTCACTATTGCCAGCTGAGAAATTGGCAAAAATATCATTTTCAACTTCAAATTCCAACGTTTGAAGGTGGCTAAAGCATGGAGGCAATAGGAAAACAAGGGATGTAATTGTGTTATTATTTCCTGTGTCAATGATTTTTAAGGGTGGGAAATAATGCCCATGGTCGTATAATAGTGAGTTGATAACCTATTGAGGAAAAACATAGAAATAATTATGTTTTGACTTTCTTAGAAAATATGAAATTCCCGCTTTAATATAACCAGACTTGAACGAAAAAAATTCTTGGTAATTTGTTATTTAGAATGTCATATTTGGAATAGGCTAATAGTAATCTGTTTCACAGAGGTATTGCGAAAGTCTTCTAATAACTCTTTAAAAGATGACTGCTTTCAACATGTGATGTCACATCATGCAGCGACAATTATTGGCTCAGTGGCACGTGCATTGTTTACATAAGACGTTACAGGTCCGGACAGAATGGTGCCTTTTACTCATTTTAACACCTATTTACACTAAATAGGAAATATGTTTTACTTATATATACTTCAAAACCTTTATTTTTTTTAATGCTTAAAAAAAAAATGTTCTATAATTATTTAATTTGCAGAAGGAAAAAAGTTAATATTTGAGACTCCTTAAGCCGCACTGATGTCACCCCTATCAGTGATTGTAGCGGCCTAGCGAAGATTCACTGCTGATCGGTGTGGGCTAATATATGTGATTACCACAAAAAATATTTGTAACGTCAGGGTATATGAAAACTATGAATACATAGGTAGAAATGTGTATTGAATTGTTATTCAAGGACCATGGTAGGGTATGACTATCAAAATATAATACATATTAATTTGTTGCAGTAGGCCTATGGTTGTATATTAAATTGTTGTTTTGTATATTATTTTGTTTTGTGTATATTAATTTGTTGTATATATATGTTAACAGAGATTACAAGAAGAACGTGAAGTTAAGTTAGAGAGATTACGTTTAAACATGAACAAACAAGCTGCTGCTAAACCAAAGGGTAAATACTGTTATTATATAGTACTTGAAAACATATAAACACCTCAGTAAAACTTAACAAATTGAACTAGACTGAGAGTTATCTTTATAAAACTTGAATCTGGTTTATTGAGACTATTCAACACATTTACTCAGAATATTGTTAATGTCATTAATCTTTCCTAAATATCATTCTCATAGTGAAATGATGTACCAGTAAATTGTTTCAATGGCATTTATTAATTGAACTGGAATATATACATGTCACAATTCTGTGGAATACAATTACTCGATTCAAACTCGAGGTGTGGAGTGGTAGGACTCGAGGTGCAGAGACGTGGGACTCGACTTGAGGTCCAGCTACTTGTTCCCACCTCTGCTTATTAATGAAAATAATTCAGCAGTTTTGGGATCTCCGTCATTAGAACTTTCATGGTCACTATTTCAATTATTGAGGTTTTCTCCGGGTCCTCTGGTTTCCTCCCACTGCTAAAGACCCCTACATGCAAGCGAATTATTGAAATAAAATTGAACCATGTGTTAGTCCCAAGATGCCCTAATTTGTGTTGAGAGGATATTAAACCCCATTTCTCTCTCTCTCTATCTCAATTATCATTTTCTGACAACCTGTATAATAGTGTATTGAACATTTTCACCTGTATATTTTGCCAGGTCGTCAAGTACAGTTAGCATATGTAGACAATTATGTCAAGCCACCTAGAGATGTGTTACGTAAACAACAGCGATATGGAACAGCGAAAATGGTTGCTCCTAGCAACAGTTTACATGGTGCTTCAAGCTCGGGTAAACCCCGTTCTAGTTATAATCCTCATGTAGCTGTACCCCAGCCTAGAAGTAAGAATTTATTTTTATATTATTATTGAAAATGACATTGATACTGTGTGGGGGTATTTTTTAGAGATATGTTTTTATGCCATAGCCAAAATCTTAGAAAACTTAAGTCTCTTTTTGTCGTTAACTGTGAGGCCATGCAAAATAAATATTGGCAGTTATCTTCACTGACGAAAAACATCAAATGTAGCAAAAAGTTATCTCGAATTTAATCAAATGAATGTTATTGTTACAAGACGGACGAACGGCCACCTCTATAGCCACATATTTCCTATCACAAGACAAAAACAAACAGATAACAGATACCGGTAACAAAACAAAACATATATACAGATACAAAATACACATATAATTTAGTTTAAAATCATAGTATACATACAGATTGTCATCATTTTACCCCAATGTCCGTCACCTAGACTTCATGTCAGTTTGACGTTATATACAATGTCACCAAGACCATCATTTGCCATTAAAGACAAGAAAATTATTATGTCACCAAGACCATCATTTGTCACCAAGACAAGAAAATACACATGTCAACAAGACCATCATTTGTCACCACGACAAGAAATATTCACCTAGGATTTTTACAAGCACATTTAAAATTACACGGAACAAACATTAGACATGTCGCTTACTCCCTACTATACTTCGGGAACAGCAACTACTAAATTCAGAAAACCTTCTTAAATACCCTACCTCAAACTAAAACTCACACACAGCAGGATTTCCAGACAGTCATATGTACACATGCACATCACTCGTGGTTTTATAATTAACAACCAGAACACCTTGTTAAATTCAATGCCTTTATTTCAGTCTGGATAATCAGTAAACAATCTATGGCAGTAAACAAGGTCAATGAGTACATTAAAGAGACAGTACCCTATCCTCTATAAAGGGGCAATACCTCACTCAAAGCATGATTTTGTGACAGTTATAAGAAAGGATAATTCTCAGCTAATACAAACACAAATTTTGTCACAAATAGCTAGTACCTATTTTCTATTGCCACAATAGGTTGCTAAAATGGAAGTAAAACAGAAGTTATTTTTGTTTATCTTTACAGTGACAAAATCAGTAGCACCTATGATGCAGAAAATCAACAAGTTAATCTCCAAGCGAAGACAATGAAGTGAAACGCCATAAAAAATATTATTTTACTCCAGGTTGTAAATCCAGGTTGTTGTTATCAGTCAACACTCAAATGGCAGCAGTAGGATTGTTAGAATTATAAAACTCTTCAGTTAGAATAGAACTATAGAACTATTTTATATGGTTTTATTGATGCTATGGTAGAAGATCCACTCCTGGTTTTAAAGTGCTTGTTTCCACAAGTCAGGATCATGTACATGATCTGAAGTTGAAGTCTGACTATGAAACAAACATAGCCTTAGTGCAATAATAGGCCAGCTTTTTATTTTTTGGCCTTCTGGTTACGAATGACCCACCAGTAAATATGTGCAGGACTAAATTCTCTATGTATTGGTGCATGCTGTTGGTCTCGCAATGAATGAGGATAGTTTGTGAGATGTAATCTTTATATCAATTTGTTTTTTTGGGGGGGAATGACATTATCTTCCAGCCTTAATGCATCGTCTCACTTCTCTAAATTATCAGATGTCTCCTACCCAAGATCTCAAATGTTGATTAGTGCTAAACAGAATTAAGAAGTAAAGAAAACTTAGAACCCAAATGAAACCATTTGGGAATCCAATTTTCTATTAACCAAAATTGCGTTAATGTTTTTTAAGGTTTTAATTTTTTTTATAAATTTATCTAACTTCCTATTTTGGGAACATAGTGTGTGATATAACCCTGGTGGGAGCAGACGTTAAACTTGTTTATTTGGTTAATCTATATTTATTATATACGTAAATTGGTGCATCTATATTTGTATGTAAAATGATCATTGAAAGTTTGAGATTAATTAGGATTGGGTTAAATATAGTTGAATGCACAGATCTGAACTTGTCTCAGGTCATACTTTATTAATTAGAATTTCTCTATTTTAAAGAGACAATATCACTTTGAACAAGAAAATTAACATAATTTATTTGATATATTCAAAATAACCATAAGTTCATTTAAAGGGACAATAACACTCTTGCTGACTTGACAGCTCCAGAAAATAAAAAATAGCCTTATTCTAAGTACTAGATGTGGTGTCCTACCTGTTGTGTAAATTATCCATTAAATCCTATTTTACTTGTCCAGAGGGTTCAAAAATATTTTTAAATCCAAGTCACATTTGAAAAGCTTTACGTCAGGCTTTCAAATCATTTAGTTGAATTTTTCCAATTTTTTAAATTAGGTGTGTTAAGATGAAATTTGTATCATCAATTAATTGGAATATTGTAAAATAGTGCAATTCGTTGACCAGAATAAAGATTGGGACATATTATTCAGTGGTATTGAACCTTTAATCATTGAGAATTCAACTGAACTTAAAAACCACTGTGGGCTATAATAACTATGACTCTTTTAAGACAGTTAAAAAACAACATGGGAACTATGAATTCAGCAAGCCCTAACAGTAACATACATAAATAATGTTTTATATTAAAACTAGGGAAATATTGTGTGTTATTCTTTATACATCTTGTCTCATAAATATATTTAAAGTGAGAGAATGAGTAGAATTATTTTGTTTTCTTTATCAAATGATATAAAATGTTTTCTATAACAATCCATTAATTAATTAATGGGAATCATTATAATTGACCCACCTGCACTATTTTTAATACATGCACAAAAGTTTTGACTATCTTGTGTTATCTAGAAATGAATCCAAAACCACTATTGATTTTTTATGGCCAAATTTCAAAACCAATCCCAGATGCTACACTGTGTGAATATTATGCATAAAATCTGAGATGTAAAAAGTCAACTGGAAATATAATTAAAGGATACAGAAACCAAGCTGACGATGACACCCTACAGTTAAATGTTGATATTGTATTGCATGTTTGTTTATAAATAACACAAGTGAGAAGGAAAATGAACATTTCTTATAAACCTTGTATCACATATTGGTGATTTATTTTTTCGTAATGTCCAGTAAGATGTTGTGAAGCACAATTTTCTGTCATTTTCTCCCTTTAAATTTGGAGTATAGATGAAGCCACATTGAACATTTTCAACATGGTAATTTATGTACATATAATAATATTTTTCTTTGTATGTAATGTAAATGTGTGAATGGGGTGATTTTATTATTATTATATGTTTACATATGTTCTTGAACCTATGGCAGGTGACCATAAAATGTGCAATGAGGGATATCATCCTCAAGCAAAGTTTAAAAGAGGTATTATCGATCACTCCCACCAAGAAATAAATGTAATTCATTTTGAACAATGTCATACTTGAAATAACTGTAGACCTTCCTGTTTATAGGAAATCAAACCAATGACCTACTTAATTTATAAAGTCAAGTATTTTGTGCAAACATTTGTTAAAATATTTATATTTTTATTAATAGGTTATGAGATAATGCCTCTTTAAATAAATTTTGAATTAGTGCTTAAAACCGCAGTGTGCTTATTATATCAGATCAAGGGGGGTTGTTGGATGGTCGAATGGTTAGCACGTGCGCGCTGTATCATACGGTCTGTCATTGAGTCAACTGGTGTAGTTTCGATTCCCCGGATGTACGTGACAAGGAGCAGGGTTGCCTGTCCAACCTTGTGGGTTTTCTCCGGGTCCCCCTGTTTCCTCCCATTGCTAAAGACCCCCACGTGCAAGTGAATTATTGAAATAAAATTGAACCATGTGTCAGTCCCGAAATGAGCTAGTTTGTGTCGAGTGGCCGTTAAACCCCATTTCTCTGTCTCTCTCTATATCATATCAAAACAACAGGATCTGCTTGTTTAACTCAAAATAGCATGCTCAGCTTGTTTGATTAACTAAAAATAACAGGATCGACTTGATTAGCTCAAAATAAAAGGATCAACATGATTAACTCGAAATAACAGAATCTGGTTCTTGGATCAAGTCAAAATAAAGTCTTGAATTCAGTTTCTGTCATGTTATTTGTATAGTGATGATCTCTTTCCAGTTTAGTTTTCGGATGAGTAAAAATGCTCAATTTACTGATAATGATCTTGTTTTGCAAAAATGGAAAATTTGAACAAAAAGTCAACTGGAGTGCAAAATGTATCATTTTATGATGTAAAGTCAAATTTGAGTGTTATCTGGGAATCAAAATTTGACTCAAATCCTGTTTAGAAATCTGTACTGTATTTATATTCAGTTTTTATATATTCTCTTTTATATCAATGTGTGTCCATAGAAAAATTGTCTCCACTTTGACTACAATGAATATTGGTCAATTGATACTGGTTTTTCCAGACTGATATTTGTAGCATTTAAAGCAAGACAATTTGGACTGAATACAAGAACTGAAAGAGCCTTTTAGCGACTTCTGAAATATTCATCTTAACTGTCAAACAAAATAGGTAAAACAGATGATAATTACATACATATTTACCTGTAATTTTAGAATGGCTTAAAGACAGTCATATTTTTTGTATATAATATTAATTTATTGAATTATTTATTTTATATTTTGTATATAAGATGATATTTAAATGGTGGAAGTCTTTATACCAAATGAACAACAGTGAAATTGTTATACAATAAATGTGCTTTTGTGTGTAAACCGAATATGTGTTCTGAATTTGTAGCAGACAAAAAGAATGTGTGATCTTTCATTTTTCTTTTGAATTTGCATGGATATTGTCATACTTATATTGATATAACCCAAAAGTATAGGATTTCTTTCATCCGGAATCTACAAATTCTTCTGCTCTTTGATTATATTTGAACATATGCAACAGTGTTTGCTTTGCAAGTACGGGGGGTTGGATGGCCGAATGGTTAGCACGTGCGCGCTGCACTGTATCATAAGGTCTGTCATTGAGTCTGTCGATTCCCCGGTTGTACGTGACAAGGAGTAGGGTCACCTGTCCAACCTCGTGGGTTTCGATTCCCCGGTTGTACGTGACAAGGAGCAGGGTCACCTGTCCAACCTCGTGGGATTTCTCCGTGTCCTCCGGTTTCCTCCCACTGCTAAAGACCCCTACGCGCAAGCGAATTATTGAAATAAAATTGAACCATGTGTTAGTCCCAAAATGACCTAGTTTGTGTCGAGTGGACGTTAAACCCCATTTCTCTCTCTCTCGCTTTGCAAGTACAGTCAACCAATAGAATCTGGAAACGTTTTCAAGAAAATGAAATTAACAAACTACTATTATTTTATCTTTGAGAAATGTTTTGCATTCTGACTCTGTAATGTCCAGAATGTTTTGAACTCGGTCAGTTTCAATGGAACAATCCTATCTTCTTTCTTACTTTCCTGATCATCATTTTTGAAGAACTATATTCTTGAATTTTTTTTTTTTCCTATTTGAATCTTAAATGGTCGCCAATCTATTAAGTTACACCTTTTGTAGATACGTAGATGTGGATAAGAAAAAGATTGTGGAAGCATATGTTCAATGACCAATTAAGGTAGTACTATCAAAATAGAACATGGAGGAGGTAGCCAAAGACAGGGCCTTAATGCATGTGTGTTGGAAATGTACTTATCTGATTTTAATCAATGTTACCTGATAAGAGTAATTTTAATACACTCTATTGTAAATGCTCTATGGATTAGATTTCAAATTTCTGTCCCTCCAACCTTCTAAACACTCATAAAAGACAAATTTGGACATTTGGGTTTTATTTTTTCAAATATGTTGGGTTAGTTCCAATACAGATCCATATATTCGTTTCGTTTTTTATACGCCCACATGGAAATATCTGTCAGTCCGTCTGTGAATGCTTTAACGCCAAAAGTTATCCGATTCTTTTAAAATTGATATATGATGTTTACATTATTTAGATGAAGAGGCCTATTTATGGCCCTTGTGTCACTTTGTTGCACCTTGTGAATCATCGAACATCAAAAGTTATCTGCTAATCTGTATGAAATTTATATGCGTCATTTAGATTAGTAAAGAGAAGAATCCTATTGAATTTCAACAATTTCCATTAATTACATCTAGAGTTATGGCCCCTGTATTAGTTTGTTGAACTTTTTGAATGTTCCGATGCCAAAAGTTATCATCCGATCTGTACGAAATTTATATGCATTTTTAAGGTTAGTGAAATGATGAAGCTTATTGAATTTCAGCTATTTACAATAATTACCTCTAGAGTTATGGCCCTTGTTTCAATTTGTTCAACCTTGTTAATGCTTGATTGTTGAAAGTCATCATTCGATAGTATGAAATTTATATGGCCCTTATTTTACTTTGTGAACGTTTGAATAACTAAAGTTATCCAATCTGTATTAAATTTATATGCATTATTTAAATTAATAAAATGAAAAAACCTGTCAAATTTCAACAATTTCTGTAGGGTATATAACAACTCTTCCAGATCCTAGTGTAGTGAAATTTTGCACTGTAAAAAACAACATGAAATAGGATGTAGCATCTGTGTTTCAATCAGATTGGGAATGTTCAGTTAAAGGGGAAACCAATCAAAATTCAGTCACACATTAATTTTATGTCGAGTTGTTGCCCCTGTCATTAAAACTTAGTAAACACTCTACACTTCGGAGTCTTTTATGTTGCAATTATTTGGCTGGTCATAAGGTTAAACCCTATCGAGATTCAGAGTTGTACATTAATTTTATGTCCCAGTCAGCAAAACCTTTTAAACACTACACAGGTCTGAGTTTTTATATGATTATTAAATAATAACAAATTCTCCAATTGTCTAATTTTCATATTTTTATTTTTCAATGATTTCCCTTTGTAAAAAAATGAACTATTACATAGAATTTAAACATAAGTAACATTTGATATATATTTCATCATTGGAATAAAGGTAATGAATATATAAATATACATTCATGTAGATATAAGTAAAGTCAAAATAATTTATATGAAAAGCAGAAAGCACAACATTAATTAATAGACTAGGGTTTGCCACAAAGCTGGTAGGTTATTGCTGTTCTCTGACTAACTAAACTTTGGTATAGAGTTCAACAGGTATTGTCATTCTCACTAAGAAAATATAATTACCTTTGTATACTAAAATATCATAAAGTAACCACAAAATCACTAAAACCACTTAAACATTTATCTTGAATTATTTTGTCTATGTTGAATTTGTACAAAGTTGAATTAAATGTAAACAACCCAGTTGTAACTGAATCCTAAATCCAGCTCAAATCAAATTAATTGTTACCTTTATTTCAGTGATAGGTGGCTTGTTTCCTGCCTTGTCAGCAAAGATCTACAACATGTTAATTCCTATTTAAAATGTATTTCACAGGGGATAACAAAAAAAGAAACGAAGATATTTATTTCTGAACAGAAACAACTAAATCACATATTACAACATTTTTAACAATTAATATACAGTATACAGTACAGTAAAATATACAATTACAAATATACAGTACAGTATAATATACAATTGTAACCTACAATACAATATATAGTACAGTATAATTATACAATTACAAATATATTGATTTTGTACACAGTTAACGTTCAATCAGAAGGCCACACATAACTGTAAAACATGAAATTATTGCATACATGATATTGATGCAATAAACAATCTGGTCACATCACATTAATTTCATAATAAAGAGTTCTTAAGTAGAATTTAAGATTAACATTAGAATGACTGCATGTCCTCTCAATATATATTTTTTGATTTTGGGTCTGAATCACAGCGTACCATACCCTGATATGAACCTCAGAAATTTCAAGCCTGGTTCCCACTTGTTAGGGTTAGTACCAGTTTGGACTGGATATTTCAACTTCCAAGCAAATCACTGAAGAATCTAGGTGGTGTAAAGGTTGTTTATCCCCTTAACTACTGTAGAGTTTGTTTGAAATAAGGTATAGAATTTCTGTTGAAGAAAAAAAAAAGCTATATATATGTACATGCATTTATCAGTCTATACACTAATTCATTTTTAGTGTCTATTATGCTTGTCCGTATTTTCCACAGCCTAAGGAACTTTTAGATCTACATACACATGTACAATTGGTGCAAAAGTTTCATGTTTTTCAGCATTTAATTAACAACCATGTATTTAACAAGTAATTTCAATCTTTCATTTTCACTTGAAGGATTCACAGAAACTGAAAACAATGAAATTCATGGGGTTTTTTACATCTATTTGGGAGACTAAAATGATGATTTTTCCATGAATAATGAGACTGCCTCAGAAATGTTTGTGATTAAAAATATGCAAATGTAACTTTAGTGTAAACCGCTGAAATTATTTTCATTCAGTAAGTTTTGGGGTTTGGGAGCAGATTGAGCCAATGTAAAAAAGAAAAAAAAGCCTGCTCACCAATTTTAGGACTTAATTATGGTCTGTGGTGATTCATACAAGCAAATACATCATATGCATATTGGTATATTTTATTGGTATTTTAAATAATATTATGACCCGCTATAACAAAAGCAATAAAATAATTATTATTATGGTTGAGATTGTTCAAATGATTATGACCTTGATTAATCACAAATGTATGGTTAAATTAATAACTGTAAATTGCTTATCATGGACATTATTGGCACATAGCCTAGATCTTCAAGATGCCTCAAGCAATGTAATTTCTAATTGGTGACCTAAAATACCACGGAAGAAGATCGCGACAATAAACAATAGACCAATAACAGCAAAAAAACATTCATATATGTACCACCATGGTCTCAACAGTATAGGACTATTATGTACTTTGTCTCTGGTATTATTATTTTCTCCTATTATTTTCCAGCTACAAGTTAGCTGCAAGTTCAACAAATTAACAGGAAGACTAATAGGAAAAGTTGATTAGCTACTGAAGAGTACGGTATATGTATAGAGTTGTGTAGATTAGCTATTGAAAAGTATAATAATAATAATAATAATAAAGTCAATAAGCTATTGAAAAGTACAAAGTTGATTAGACATTTATAAAACAATGATATTTTTGTGCATTTTACATTAATCTAAGGATGGATTTAAAGTAATATCAATAGGAAAATAAAAACTTCATGGGACTCAGTATTTATCCAGGGAAAATGTGGTGTACTTAATGGAATTATACACCCTACTAATAAATCATACAAAAAAGGAATTCAAATTACTGTATTCAACTAAAAAAAATCCTAACACTCTAAATTTGGTGTTGGTGACAAAACAACTGACGTTTCCTGTTACATGATGAAACTGACATTGCTTCATTATACAGACAAACTGTGTGTTTATTCAAATGACAATTTCCATCACCTTTGACAGTGCATAGATTTTATTTGGTTGAATATGGTAGATAAATTCAATATTGAAACTGTCATGCATCTGCTTTTGGTTAAGATAAGGATTCCAATACAAATATATTTGAAAAAAAAATCATTTTTTTGCTTTTTTTTCTTCCATATTTATATTTCTTCAAATTGCATCACATTTTCAAACAGAAATTTAGACTCAATTCAGCTATCTGTCCAAAGTTTCGATTAGGTTATATCGGCAACATAATTACATTTGTTCTGACTACAGCAAAATGAGTTCTCAGAAGAACATATTTTCTTACTCATTTAATTGTCTCATGGTACATCATAAGACCATTATGAATTAATTTGGCTGTAGTGGGGTAGGTTGGCAAGAATACCATGTTCCTGTAATAAATTCTTGGTGGGTCGATATAAAACAGCGCTAGAAATAAAGCATGGTTGCACGACAGTCTCAAAATTGAAATAACAAAATAAAAATATCATTACTATTTCATTTCAATTATACATTATAATATACAAAATTATCACAAATCATTATTGGGTCTATTTTGGATTTTGGACCAACATTTTAAAGGAAATTTATATACAAATTATCACACAATAATTAATTTACACAGATTAATGGTACAGGGCTTCAGGCCTTATAAAACCATTTTTACTTACAAATTTGCTTTCTTTTACATTCATATTGAATAGAGAGAGAGAGAAATGGGGTTTAACGTACACTCGACACAACTAGGTCATTTCGGGACTAACATATGGTTTTAATTTTATTTCAATAATTCGCTTGCGCATAGGGGTCTTTAGCAGTGGGAGGAAACCGGAGGACCCAGAGAAAACCCACAAGGTTGGACAGGCGACCCTACTCCTTGTCACGTACAACCAGGGATTCGAAACCACGCCAGTCGCATAATGAATAGGGATGGGTATCAGGTTCAATGTAAGGTATACTTACTTATAAAGTACCTAATACCACTGAGGAGTTCACACACATGAAGCTAACAAACTTTTGTCAAAAGCGAAATACCGATACCATTTTGAATAGAATAGTTCACTACCAACAAGCCTTTATATAAAACTTGAGCTGAGCAAAAGAAAATGTTCATATAATACCCCTGGGTTTTAATAGTAATGGATGACTCTCTCATATAGATTTTTATAATGTCCAACACCATGTCAAACATTTTCTAAAACAGTCCGGGTAGACTGTAATAATGCCTTCAAATTGTGGTATATAATCCTGAATGAATGTTACCTGAATCAGAAAACTAAAACTAAAACAAGAATATCATGTGACCTGAAATTAATGCCACCTTAAATATGTGTATTCAAATAAATGAAATGAGTGTAGGTTCTAGCTATTTCGAATTAAAGTTACATTATGTAAGATTTAGGTAAACAGCCAACAGTTCTTGCTATAAAAGTTTAAAAATAGATAATGAAGAAAGGAATATATTTCAAATTTCAGTCAAATTAATTCATTCTGAGCGATGTTATGGCTGTTTGAAGAACTATGTAGTCTTGATTTTCATTGCTACTGCTGTTAGGGTTATAAACAAAGTCTTGAATATACATTTTTAAATTAAATTATTAAATGGTGATCATGTTTCAATCCATTCAAAATCACAACCATCTGATGGTCTAGAAAGTTTATTATGGGCTTATCTTGTGAATAAATGTCTAATTAATAGTTAATATAACATTTGAGGTCAAAATAAAGACCTGCACGTGTAATAGGCAGGTTTAACTCCAACATAACGCATCATTAACTTATTTAGATCTATAAACACCTGTATAGCCCATGTTACATATATACTCTGACTCTATTGTTGTTTGAGATATACATACTTCCTACACATCATTAACTTATTTAGATCTATAAACACCTGTATAGCCCATGTTACATATATACTCTGACTCTATTGTTGTTTGAGATATACATACTTCCTACACAGGTGGGCAATAATTGTATAGTGGCATATTGCATACTGGAATGATGTTGAGAGATTTCCAGGATAAGCGTATACACATTACGCGTACAAAGTGATATATATGGATGATGAACACATGGAAACAAGTCTCTACATAGTGTTATTCACCAATTACAAACACATGGAAACAAGTCTCAAGATTTCAGTACATAGTGTTATTCACTGATTACAAACACATGGAAACAAGTCTCAACAATTTAGTACATAGTGTTATTCACCGATTACAAACACATGGAAACAAGTCTCAACAATAAAGTACATAATGTTATTCACCGATTACAAACACATGGAAACAATTAAGTCTCAACAATAAAGTACATAATGTTATTCACCGATTACAAACACATGGAAACAAGTTTCAACAATTTAGTACATAATATACTACAAAACACATGGACTCCTAGCTTTAGTCTGCTAACAAAACATAATATCAACAAAGAAAATAAAATATACTACATATACATCAAAGCACTGTCTTATTGTTAATGTGTACATGTTCCTACACTAAAGCAAATAAACATAAAAAATATAGTAACTTTAACAATACAAAAATAATCTCTGGTTTTTGACTGTTAAAAAGTGTAATCTCATTTAGTGAAATATCTATATCATGACCAACTGATAAACAGATACAAGTATATTTACTAAACAATACTGTAACAATCCTATAAATAAGGCATCTGTTACAAACATTATCAGACTTAGGCTTTATCTGGCACATATATGACTTTCTTTAGTGTTTACTTTTGGATATTTTTAATATCAGTACATGTATCTGAATTATTGGGCTTGGTTAAAATATTGTTCACATAAAAGGTAGAAAGTGCAGGGCTTAACGTCCACTCAACACAAAAAAGGTCATTTCGGGACTAACATATAGTACAATTTTATTTCTATAATTCGCTTGCCCAAATAGGGGTCTTTAGCAGTGGCAGGAAACCAGAGGACCTCGATAAAACCCTAAGATGTTAGAGTTTGGTATCGAAAGTATGCCACATGAATCAATGACAGACCTTATGATCTAAAGTGCATGCATAAAACCATTCGTCCACCTACCCCTCCACACACTAGTATTAAGATAGTATAGGCTTACAGTCAGCGGCATTTGTTGTTTTTCATTTAATAATATTCACTACATCACAGATTATCTAATGTTGTGTTGATTTTTGTTGTTTATCTTTCTAGTGCATGGCAGTTAGTTAGTAGTCTAATATATTATTTTTTCAGTTCATTAGAAAAACCTGTCTAGGGTCCAAACAGGTATTGATGTTATCAGTAAAACCCCTCAAAATTTAAAAATGGAAGTATCGCTCACAACCACCAAACTATTATTGAAAATCAAAGAACAAACATTCAGTAGTAAATCAATTTCATATAGTATAACTAAAAAGTTGGTTATAATAAAATATTTAGAAAATATTAATACTTTTTTTTCATGAGCGCCATTTTCAAAAATGGTGGATATTATATATTTCTTAATGTCTGCAAACAGTTTACATTGACTTTAATGTAATTCTTCAATGATATGTGCTGTTCACAGTACCTGTTCACTCAAATCACAGATAATCACAAATTAACAATGCTGGATGTCTTCACACAAACTTTTTAATATTCCAACTGGATGAACCGACAAGATATCAATCAACATTTTTCGCAATAGATCAAATAGCACAGATTTTTAAATATTCATATTATAAATCAATACTTTAAACAATATTTCACAGCTCTTTTATGAACATTTCAATAAAATGTTCACTAAAACAACTGTTCACATGAGAAAAGAGATCATGTTCAATTCACGTTCACAGAACATTATTAACACACACCCAAATTTGATATCACAAATCAATCCATTTTATACCTTTTTGTTGGCAAAGCCACATTTTTGTTTTGTCATGTCTAAATTGGTGATCTACATCTCGATTTTAACACTTGGAAATAAATTTTGGGGTTTCAGAACACAACACTATATATCGGAAGCAGAGTTACGAACAAGACAACCAATATAAGTTTCCGAATTTTACATTTGACGTTATACAATTTTTGAGCAAGGGAATAAAAAATTGTGTATTTACACAAAATGCCCACAGTAGTCACAGAATAACAATAAATTCAACATTGGATAACATTTTGTAAACAATATGCAAATATATATTTTGTATAATTTTCATAGTACCTTTTGTTTTGTTTTTTGCTGTCATATTGCTCAAATTTACAAAACATCACTCACACATCACTGACATCATCACAATATGCTATGTCCGTAATTTGGATTTATAATGATTTTTCGTAAAACCGTTTAAAGGTTTCAGAGCATGACCGTTAGTTTTTTTACTATTTACAAAAAGTGTTTCTTCTTCACTGGAAAAATCTGATTCAGACATCATAACACTACTGTTTTGTATTTTTCCTGCAATAAAAAAATAGGAGAATATTATAAAATGATTACTATGACAACTGCTGAATCAATTTTGGTACATAACTGGTACACTGTCCAAACTTCAATGCTTTTCGACGAAAAACCATTTCTACATTACCTGATGAGTATTAAAACAGCAAAACTCTTCTCTACGACCTACATAACTCCAACAACGAAATTAATAACCTTATCTTTTATAACAGTTCAATCATATTTCAATTTAACAAAACGATTTTAAATTATTATTATTATTATTCTTACAACATTCAGCTAAGTACGGGTTGTATATATTGTATATAGTGAATCTACTGCTTTTCATTATTAGTATTTAATTTGTATTGTAAATAGGGATAGGGATCTGACATAGGCATTTTGTCTTTTCCCCAATTTCCCATTCATTTATAGTGAATAAAATATGTCTTAAAAAAAAATAAATAAAGGAATATGTCATTTTTTGAATAAATATTGTAATATAAGTGGCTATGAGCAAGTTCAAGAGATTAATGCCACTGATTAGCAGTTGTACAACCACAGCGGTGTATGTCAATAAGGTAATCAAACCATGATTTAAATAAACAAATTGTAAAAATTAAATCGGCTATGTGTGACCTCAAACTTATGATTACTTATACCACTGACTAGCAGTTGTGCAACTAGAAATCTCATCATAGAGGAGATAACTCTTCTCGATTTGTAATTTTCTATCATGATGTAATAGACTAGAAGGGTTAATCATCAATTTGTGGCCGACCTTCCAGTTGTATGCAGAACATAGATTCTGTGTCAAATTAAAACTGTTTGAAAAAGAATCAACTGCTGCGTACCAAATCAAAACGGGATTAAACAGGCCCCCCCCCCCCCCAAAAAAAAATAATATCTAATTAATACTATTTCACCATGTTCCATTACCCAGCAGCAGACTGTAGGTAGACTACCCATAGTTAAAGTTACAATTTCATAGTTTCTAAGAAAGTCAAAACATAATTATTTCTATGTCTTTTGCTCAATAGGTTGTCAACTCACTATTATACGATCATAGGTTATCTTTCTCACACTTAAAAATCTTCACACCGGAAATAATAACACAATTACCTCCCTTGTTTTCCTATTCCCCACCATGGAATAGCTATCTTCAAACGTTTGATTTTAAGTTGAAAATTATATTTTTGCCAATTTCTCAACTGGCAATAGTGAATTATAGGATTAATAGGATTATTCTTTAACAAGGTAGGACTGTTTATAGATACCATCTATTTTAAGGCTTTATTTTAATACATTTTAAAAATATAACTTAAAAATATGAAATTGTAACTTTAAACATCATAATTAACTATGCCTTAACATACAGTAATTGGCCTTGATATTCAAGTTACAACAACCAGACCTACCTTTAGGAAGTAAATCTTTATGCTCTTTCATTTCATGTATATCTTCTTCTCGTGTATTTAATAAAGAATAACGATGACGTTTCCGCGTTTTTAACTTACAATGAAATAAACTACATCTGAAAAAATACAAAACACCAACCAATGTAATTAAAAATATATAAGTACTTTTATGAATAAGTAATTGTTCTGTAACTAGATCTTAAAGTTTCACACCTAATAGCAGTTATTAGAAAATATGGTGTGACCTCAAAGCACCGAACATCGGCATCACAAAGGTACATTAAATTAACATATATGAGATAAATATAAGAAAATGTAGCATTAGGGCATTATAGAAAGTCTACATATGGGAATAGAATATTAGCACCGCTCGCAAAATCCACAACAATAACCTAGACTATTTATACCTGTCAAAGTGAATCTGACATCACTTGTCATTCAATGTATATCTCTTTTTGAATTGTATATACTTACTTTTTAGATCTACATAAACAAATTATAACCCAAGTTCCCCCAGCTATTGATATGACTATTACAAAACAGACTATAACTACATATAATATACTCCACTCTGTAATAAAAAACAAACAGACTATTATTCCAATAGCGTAAAGTCTTTAAAGCAACACAAAAAAAAATCTTCATATGTTCAGAGTTCATAATACTCCTCGCTTGGTCTCTTATTTCTACGGTAACATACTGTATTTTGCCCAGACAGTCATTCCAACTACTAAATAAGGGACCTTTAAACTACCAACTTGTACACAGGAAATCAGTACATGTATCTTGTACCCTTTCAAAGAATAAGACACATTTAACTATCAAGTGGGAACCAGGCTATAAATATCCTGAATGTGATATGAATTCTAACAGAAGATATTCCGGTCCAGTGTCATAATTACAAGATTACTGCTGAGACAAAAGTTTTTCTCAATATTTGTAGGAACTAGCAAGTAATATAAAAACACAATTAATTTTTATGGCTGATGAATTATAGCACAAGGAACTGAATAACATTTATATATGATGAAACTGTTCTTATTATCTAGAATATAATACCCCAATTTCAGTTAATAGATTCAGGGATGCCTGAACGTCCAAACGGCAGGGGGTGGGGTGGGGTCTCCCCATGGGGTTGAGGTAGTCCGAGGGTTTGAAGCACGGAGACTAACCCCAAACATCATGCTCTGCTAGCTCAGAGATATCAATACTCCCGGCTCCACTCACTAGCAAACCCACATTCAAGTCTCCACTCAGTAACCAGATTCATAAAAAAAAAGTCCAGTTTGTGCTACCGTATATTTTGAGAAACACAGTTTAGTTTTGTTATCGGCCATACAGTTTCTTTGGTTGCTTATAGAAATGTACACTACCATTTTGATTTATATGGTCTAAAAACTAAACACCATATAAATCTAAATGTTACTCAGGTTCTAGTGTAGAGAGAGCTTAATGGGCACTCTTTTATGAAAGGCAATTTTTCATACCACAGTTACTCTCCTGTAGAAAGAATGTCGAGGTAAAAATATTCTCCATCCAGAAAGCTTCACAAACACACAGTTTTGTCTTTATATCACAATGACCATGGCCAGAACAATTATTTTGACAAACTGAAAATAGAAAATATATGTACATATAGAGTTTATTTTAAAAAAAACCCTGTTAAACACATTTTGGCTGCAATTTTGCCCAAACCCTTTCTTATTTCTTAAATCAAAATCTTTTGATAAGCTTATATCTCTTATTGTCATTAATTCTTGATTTCTTCTGCATTACTTTTTGGGGGGTTGGATGGCTGAATGGTTAGCATGTGCACACTCTATCATAAAGTCTGTCATTGAGTCAATTGGCAGGGTTTCGATTCCCCGGTTGTATGTGACAAGGAGTAGGGGCGCCTGTCCAACCTCGTGTGTTTTCTCCGGGTCCTCTGGTTTCCTCCCACTGCTAAAGACCCCTACGCGCAAGTGAATTATGGAAATAAAATTGAACCATATGTTAGTCCCGAAATGACCTAGTTTGTGTTGAGTGGACGTTAAACCCCATTTCTCTCTCTCTTTCCGCAATACTTTTTCCAATTTTTCCAAAACAATCTGACATTGTTTTTATTACCATGTTTTGAAGAAAAGCTTTTCTGGTCATTTGTAACAAGTTGAAAGAACAGTCCCAGATTTTACTGGGTATCTGCCTATAAAAGAGATCTAAAGAACAGGGACATATACCACCAGTATAATATTTATCACAATTCTATTCAAGGAATAGGTCAAACACTATGTAAACAAATCTTTTTTTAAAATATGAGTCGCAGTTTGCTTCTGAACATGCAAATTAATTTTAATATTTTGAACAGACACTTGTCACCTCACAAAACTAGACATGTAAAGGTTTGGGGGCGTTTGGAAAAGTGGACAATGAAATATTTATAAAACATTTTCTTTTTATTTCGCTGGAACAATAATAGTTTATCCTATCATCTTGTAAGATGCGGGGAAAATATATTCTACAAAATATATTAATCTGTGGTGTTTTTCACCATTCAGAGGTTGGAAAAGTGGACAATGAAATATTTATAAAACATTTTCTTTTTATTTCGCTGGAACAATAATAGTTTATCCTATCATCTTGTAAGATGCGGGGAAAATATATTCTACAAAATATATTAATCTGTGGTGTTTTTCAACATCAGAGTTCCACAAGATATTGAACTTAAAAAAAAAATCTTTTTTTTTTTCCAAAAATTTCTTCTCAGACCTCCCTATATGCCTGTGTGGTACCATATTCCACAAGATTTCGACTTAGAATAATTTTGATAGAGTGTTTTGGGTCTGTGGTGTTTTTCACCACAAGAGTTCCACAAGATATTGGACTTAGAAAAAATATCAATTTTTTCAAAAATTTCTTCTCATACCTCCTATGTGCCTGTGTGGTACCACATTCCACAAAATTTTCGACTTAGAATAATTTTGATAGAGTGTTTTGGGTCTGTGGTGTTTTTCACCACAAGAGTTCCACAAGATATTGGACTTAGAAAAAATATCCTTTTTTTTCAAAAATTTCTTCTCATACCAACTTAAAATAATTTTGATAGAGTGTTTTGGGTCTGTGGTGTTTTTCACCACAAGAGTCCCACAAGATATTGGACTTAGAAAAAATATCCTTTTTTTTTCAAAAATGTCTTCTCATACCGACTTAAAATAATTTTGATAGAGTGTTTTGGGTCTGTGGTGTTTTTCACCACAAGAGTTCCACAAGATATTGGACTTTGAAAAAATATCAATTTTTTCAAAAATTTCTTCTCATACCTCCATATGTGCCCTTCTTTTCAGACCTCCCTATGTGCCTGTGTGGTACCACATTCCCCAAAATTTACGACTTACAATAATTTTGATAGAGTGTTTTGGGTCTGTTGTATTTTTCACCACAAGAGTTCTACAAGATATTTTTTCTAAGTCCAATATCTTGTGGAACTCTTGTGGTGAAAAACACCACAGACCCAAAACACTCTATCAAAATTATTCTAAGTCGAAAGTCTTGGGGAATGTATTTATTTTCAGAAACCCAGTATCTTGTGGTGAAAAGTTCTTGTGGTGAAAACTCTTGTGGTGAAAAGTTCTTGTGGTGAAAACTCTTGTGGTGAAAAGTTCCACACAAATGCCCCCAAACCTTGCCATAGATGCACAAAACAAATCAACACATGGATGGAATGTATAGAGGAGATACCGGATATTTTAAGTGTTCATTACTATTTCTACTACAGAGACAAAATGATATTAAGTATTGTATACATACCAACAGTGTCTATAGAGATAACTTTAAAATCTAATATATCATTTTCTTGTTGTAGTTTATGTTTTAATATAGATAATATCTTTACACCATTAGCAACCTTTTCACTTTCTTTATACTTTGTCTTCACCAAAAACTGTATATGTAAACTGGAAAATAAAAAGCAAGTAAATAAACATTAGTACAATATGATCTATATTTCGTTTCGTTTTTTTATACTTTTGATGGCCTCAACTACATGAAGATCTGACCGGTTGTAGTTGAAGGTCGAATCAGAGGACATAACAGCGGCTTTTGACCTTATGAAGCCAGGCATTCGATTAACCAGTCAGCATTGTATTTAATGCAGTCATTCCAACATTCCTATATATTTTTCAAACACTTTTATTTTGAGCACTATCGATTGCCTCATTTCTACAAATAATTATCTTCAATGTACTAAGATGGAGATTTCTTGTAAACATGCAGTCAACCATGAAAGACAATAGAATAATACAATGTTTGAAAAATGCTCCCTTTTTTGTGGTTTGCATTTATGGGTTGTACTCCCTGGTTGTGAAGTATCTCTGGAGGTCAATAAATAAATGTAGTCACTCACTGTCCAGTAGACATATCTTTACCAATATGTTGTATATCAACAATAGTTTCTCCATCAGCTTTATTTTGATGTATTAATAATTTTAACTGACTGGCAATACGTTCCTGAAATAACAAAGATAGGTTGCCAGATAATGACAAAGTAGGTGAGATGTTCAAGCACACTATGATTCTTCTATAGAAAACAAGAATATTAATAAGAACAATAACTCAGAAAGCATTGATCAGAAACTGATGAAGATAAATATAATCTCTTGCGCTCAGAAGCTGCACTGAAGAGCTCTGCCAAAAAAGTGATTTATCTGTGTATAGAGTGAATGTTTTTTATAAAAAGTTGCATGCACCTGTATAACTGTGGTGTTACACCAAATGTGTTATTTTGGGAGAATTTGATATAGGAATTAGCAGTAGTTGGACCATTTTGTTTATTTACTTTATGTTTAAGTTCAACATATTGTGAACAGTGTTACAACCAAAGGGTCTATCAATTTCAATGTCAGTGAGCTATAGTAGTGAATACCTACTCAGATTAAACCATGTTGACAACAGAATTTCATCTCACTTATTTAACATACTATTGGAGTTGGGATTGAGTGTTCACCGTAGAACAAAAAGGGAAATAAGAAGTGGAGTAAAGTTCAGATCATTCATTAACTCAGAAAAAGCCATTGTAAATTTTGATCAACATTTAAAAAAGAATGAAAATAAATCACCCTGTCCTGATAGTATTTTATCCAAGTCGACAAAAAATTTATTTACCAAATGTATCTTTAACAAAGATAATTCACCCCCTGCTAAAACTATGTCTTTTGAATATTCAATCTGCATGTAATAAAGGACTTGACATTGAGGAGACTATTATACATCAAAACATTGACATGCTTGTCTTGACTGAAACCTGGCTCAAACCGCAAGGTGATGAATCAAAAATTGCTACAATGACACCGAATGGTTACAAATTTGAACATAAACCCCGTGTGTCTAGAGGCGGTGGCATAGCCGTAATTTATCGAGAACATCTTTCACTAAAATTCTATTCTCCAAAACTCAAAGAAGTTAAATCATTTGAATATTTAGAATGTTTACTGACAAGTGCACAAACTGCAACAAGAATAATTGTTGTATATCGGCCTCCAATATCAAAGAAAAATCAATTGAAGACGGCAATGTTTCATGATGAATTTTCCAATTTACTTGAATATGTTCTTACTTCAAAAGCCAGACCAATTATACTTGGTGATTTCAATTTTCATTTTGACGTTCAAAACAATCCTTATACAGCCAAGTTACAGACTCAGATACTCACAAACAATCTTATTCAACATGTTAGTTTGCCAACCCACAAGAAAGGTCATATTCTGGATTGGGTGGTTTAAAATGTTGCTGACAGTACTGTGGAAGATGTCACTGTGTCAGATCTACAAATCTCGGACCACTTTCTGGTGTCATGCCTTCTTAATATCCGACCGCCCCTCAAACCGTTGACAGAAATCAAATTCAAAAATCTGAGACGCATGAACAGTGAGGCTTTCTGTCATGATTTAATGACATCAAACCTTTTTCTTCATCCACCATCTACGCTTGACGAATTTGCTCTCAACTATAATAGTACATTGAGGGTTCTTCTGGATAAGCATGCTCCAACAAAAACCAAGAAGATTCAGTTCAGACCTGATACGCCATGGGTGTACACTGATGATGTGCGATTGCTTAAATCTGAAAGGCGTCGAGCTGAACGAAGATGGAGAAAATCCTCTCTGAAGGTTCATCGTCAAGCATATGCAGACGCTCGAACCCGTATTGTCAAGGAAATCAGAACAGCTAAACAGAGCTACATGAATACCAAGATCGGTGAATCTTTGAAGAACTCCAATGCTCTCTATTGGACTTTCGACTTATGGGTAAAACAGACTGAGACACAACTCTTCCTGATCTTGATGGATATCAAGCAATAGCAGAGGCTTTCTCAAATTACTTTACAGAAAAGATACATAGCATCCAAAGACAATTTGACGACATTGAGTTTGTATCATCAAGTACTCCCATCCTCCCTCCCCCCTTATTTGAGTTTGAAAGCTTACTGAGGCTGAGGTATTGCCTATTCTAAAAAGGTCAAAAACAACAACCTGTAAGCTTGATCCTGTCCCAACAACACTGATTTTTGATCATCTCGACTTCTTTCTGCCCGTTATTACACAATTAATTAACCTGAGTATAAGTGAAGCGAAAATGCCAACAATATTCAAAACAGCTTTCGTTAAACCCTTGCTGAAGAAACCAGGTCTTAATTCTGAGGAATTAAAAAAACTACCGCCCAGTATCAAACCTTCCATTTATTTCCAAAGTTTTAGAACATGCAGTTTGTCTTCGTCTTTCAGTACATCTGTTACTACATAATCTTTTCGAGCCTTATCAGTCTGCTTATCGGCCATTCCATTCAACAGAATCTGCTCTTCTTCGTGTGTCAAACGATATACGTACTGGTATTGACGGTGGCAATGTTGTTCTTTTGGTACCACTTGACTTGAGTGCAGCATTTGATACCATCAACCACAATAACCTTCTTTCGAGGCTGAAAGGTGACTATGGACTTGCTGGTAATGCATTGAATTGGTTCTGGTCATATTTAACAGACAGAAGTCAAAGTGTTGCAGTTCACGAATGTGTCTCTACTCCTGTTGATTTAACCTGTGGTGTTCCCCAAGGATCTGTATCGGGGCCGGTACTGTTTAGCCTATACACCAAAGACTTGGGTTCACTTATTAGTGACCATGACCATGACCATTCTCAAATTATGTCTATATTCAAGCCTACACCAATGTCAGCTGCTTAACCAATTCCCAACTCTCAAAGTGTTATGAACAAATTAAATTGTGGATGACAGCAAATAAATTAAAACTTAATGATGAGAAAACTGAAGCTTTACTTCTTGGTCCTGAATCTAGACGTGATCTATGCGGTATAACCAATGTCCATGTTGGCAACTTCTCTATTCCAATTTCAAATAGTATAAGAAATCTTGGAGTGATGTTTGATAGCAATCTTAATATGGAAACCCACATCAACCATATATCTAAAGTGTGCTATCTCATTCTACGGAACATTGTGTGCATCAGGAAATATCTTAATGCTGATTCTACTAAGATACTGGTGTCCTCGTTGATTCTTTCCAGGATAGATAACTGCAATAGTTTACTGGCTGGTGCTCCTACTTCTCTTGTTTCGCGACTCCAAAAGATCCAGAACACAGCAGCTAGAATAATATCTCTTGCTCCTCGTTACAGTCACATAACACCAATTCTCAAAGAACTTCATTTTCTTCCTGTTAGTTACAGAATCAAATTTAAAATACTCTGTTATACATTTCGATGATTAAATGGTACTGCCCCAAAATACGTGAGTGATCTCTTACAATCCTATACTCCTGTAAGGACCTTAAGATCAGTAGATAAGAAACTCCTTGTAGTGCCTAAGCCTAAAACAGCCCCTTTTGATCAAAGAACTTTTCCTACTCAGCCCCAACAGAGTGAAATGATCTACAACTGGAAATAAAGAACTCTCCAGATATTGCTGTGTTTAGATCCAGACTTAAAAACCTTTTTGTTTAAGAAGGCATTCACTTTGTGACAGTTGTGATCATTTTTGGACTGCGCTTTGAGCATGCTCATTAGGGCTGCAACGATACACCAGGCCACGATACGATGCGCATCACGATTCTTACCCCACGATACGATTAATATCGCGATGCAGTTTTCTCGGTCCACTGAACGAATTCCATTCTTGTCATAATTTACGGGAAATCCAAAAAACTCCCATACTTGTGACTTATACTTGGCAGAGGGATTTTCAATTTCTACATTATTTTTGTCGCCCGTACGACCTGAATTTGTTGACGAATGCATCATTATTAAAAATATTCTGTTGCTGAATCAATTCAATGGCTTGCTCGTATTGCTACAACAATTTCAGCCAATGGAAAGCTTTCTCGTTGTCAGGTCAGTCGTAGATGAGAGAATGGCAAAGAAAATAACAATACGAAATTTGAATGTCAAAATATTATTATACATTGAAAATATAGAAAAGATAATTGTGCTGATCATTGTATGCACCTATCACCATTCTTGCACAGTAGTCTTATTACAAATCGCATATTACTGACGTATTTATAATAATATGTTGTATGTTTTTTCCGCATATTATTCAAGTGTGTAATTTGCAAGTAACCTAATTTCATGCCTGACTTGCTTATCCAGACTGATATTTTGTTTTATTCTTGACGAAATAGCTGAAAGTCTCGAATTATTCACGTGCCGAAAGCGAGTTAACACGTACTCGCTGAAAGTAAAAAAAGTTATTTTACTCATAGACTTATTTAGGCATTCCTCGTTAGGATATTTAAACGACAGAATGTCAGTCTATTTTTTTTTAAATTTTGGATAACGAATCGCGATACGGACATTGATTGTATCGTGCATCGTGTATTTTTAAACTATCGCGGTTCATCGATTCATCGATGAATCGTTGCAGCCCTAATGCTCATGCATGGATATTACGCAATATAAATAGACTATTACTATTATATTATTATTATTCAAAATAACACTAGACTTGTCTATTCAAAAATCCCTGTACTAGCTTACGTAAAAGCAGTTCATTTATATCAGCATTCAAGAAATCTCTGCGATGATTTGAGAAATCTGCCACATCATCTATTTTCAACACCCAACTGAAACATTCCAATGATGGCAAAAGATCTCAAAAGCCGGAATAGTATGATTCGAGGAGTGAAGTTTTCTGTCATCCTATGTGCTGTTTCAACAGGAATCTTTTTTTTTTAACAAGAAAAGTATAAGACATACATTCCTTATCCCTAACATATTGGAAATCTATATAAATTAAAACTATATCTTACCTTATTTTCTTCTGTAAATTCATTTACATCAGTATCTAACAACATTTCTAGTGCATTCAATCTATTTGGATCTGAAAATAAAATACATTGATAAATAAATCATAAAAAAATTTGTGCAAAACTTTGTTCCATATTATTTTCTGTTGTTTACTTCATCTCGGTCTAAAGGCATTACAGAAAGTTCTGTGATATCTTTTCAAAAAATGATAATTGTAGCATTTGATTGGATGTCTATTCAAGGTCCATGTATTATCATCCTGTTGTCTTGGGGAAAGTGATATTGCCCCTTTTTCTCTTCTCCCCACACTATGAAAATTACAAGAACATTACAAATATATTACAAACCTTCTTTGACAATAACTGAAGCTGAATCTGAGTTAGACAGACCTTCACTATCTACTACAGTTAAAGAGAATATATAACGTCCAGCTACTAGATTGACTAACTGTAATACAGCCTGACTATCAGAACCATTTATTATATCCTATAATATATAAAATATTGTAATAAACAATACTTGACGATTATATATATTTGGACATATCAATCTTTATTATATATTTGGGTATATCGATGATGATATATCAGGGTATATCGATGATGATATATTAGGGTATAACGATGGCTATATTTATGGGTATGTCGATAGTTAAATATTTGTGAATATTAATTATAGGTTATACTGATGGTTATATATTTGTCTATATCAATGATGATATATTAGGGTATATTCATGTTTATATATTTGGGAATATCAATTGTAGGGGAAATATATCTAAAGGTAGTTAGGAATTTATAATAATATAAAACAAGATAAAGTATAACAGTATTCTGTCTTACCCCTGTTGCTAAGCTACGGAGATCTCTTTTCCAATGGTACTGGACAATGCCATGATCATCAGTTGATTCTCTACCATCCAGATTGATAAAAGATAGTGGTAAATAAACAACTTTATCTCCACCAGCTTTTGCTATTGGAGCTAAATTGGCATCTAGGTAATGGTAAAAAAATAATAATACAAGGTTAAGTTTAAGAAATACTAAATCATCATATATATTTTGCCATCTTCCAAGAGTTAAGGTTAACACAGTCTTACTACATTTCCTTTAGAGGATGGGTTATTACCTTGCCAAAAAGTCTATGCCTCTATCATGGACAACTATGGACACACATTCGGGATGTGTGCTGCTGTCTACTTAAATTATTCAATGCAATTATTGATTGTATTGGGCTTTTAAATTTACATTTGGTTTAAACTATGTTTAACGGGTTGAAAATACTGCATTGTCTCTAATCAGGCAAGTAAACAAATTACCCTCAAAATAACGAAATGATGGAAATTTGGCAGGGTAGTATTATATATCGTAGCCTAACAAAGTTTTAACAGTAATGTGTCATGGGGGAATTTTAATTTGTAATCAAACTTAATCCACTCGACACAAACTAGATTATTTCGGGACTAACACATGGTTCAATTCTATTTCAATAATTCGCTTGCAAATAGGGGTGTTTAGCAGTGGGAAGAAACCCACGAGGTTGGACAGTCGACCCTATTCCTTGTCACGTACAACCGGGGAATCGAAACCACGCCAGTTGACTCAATGACAGACCACCCCCCATTAAGCATCAACCTGCTTCATAAGGCATAAGGTGGGTGGAACGCTTAAAGTTTAAAGGGAGGGACTGCAACAAAATAATCAAATTGGAGGAGGATAAGTCTTTACAGATGATTTTTTCAAAATGTCTTTTGAGTTCATTCTTGCCCCTCTTCACATAAGCACACACCATCTCCAAAATGACATCATGAGAAAAAACAACCTTTCATTTAGAGGCGTTAACATTATTCTGTTGACAATTTTCCTACCAGAGAATATACCGGTATGTGTTCCATAATGTTAATTTTTTCTTTAAAATGTGAAGGTTTCTGTTGACTCAAACTATAATTTGAAATTAGGTCATGCCTCTAAAAATATGACCACCATAGAGGGGGTTGATATGTAATGAAAATAACTTACGAGTTTTTGTGGTTACGGTTAACTTCGCCGAGGTAACAATTCCTTCATTGTCTTTGACTTGGAGTTCAAACTCATATGTGCCCTCATTCAATGCACCTGTTGCTGAGGCAACCATTCTATCACTGTTCATGATTTGCAAAGCTGTTGGGCCTCTGTTAAATTATTTAATTGAAATTTATTGTTAATTAAAACATAAGAATAGAGAGAGAGAGAGAGAGAGAGAAATGGGGTTTAACATCCACTCGACATAAACTGGGTCATTTCAGGACTAAAATATGGTTCAATTTTAGGGGTCTTTAGAGGTGCGAGGAAACTGGAGGACCGGAGAAAACTCACAAGATTGAACTCCTTGTCATGTACAGTGTAATCGAAACCACGCTACTTTGACTCAACGACAGACCTTAACCATTCAGTCACCACAAGAAATATTTTTAAAAAGTGACAAAAGTTTTAAATAGGTTTCACATGTTCTCCGATCCCTCTTCGGAGTATATTTCTGAATAAAAATATTGTTATTCTTGTGCCAAAAGGCGTACGTAAAAAAAGATGTACCACGATCCTGTACACTAACACTGTTAAGCGTGTGAGTATCTTAGAACTCCTTAAAGCACAAGTCCCGAGGACACATAACCTGATTTCTGGTCCCAATCTTATGATGCCTGATGCTAATTATTAATTCATACTGCCACAAGACCCCTACTAATAGTTTCATAGCGTAAATTTTTTTTGCTCTACAGTAAACTGTAATAAACTGTTTGCTTTATATATAATTTACTATGCTTATTTATTTTTCTGCTAATATTTATGATTTATATAATGTACATATCGTCTCTCATAAAACTTAATGAATGGTATTTTTTTTAAATGATTTGTATATTTTATTATCAAATGTGACATATTTATAACTGGTGCGATGTTAATAAACTACTATTATAACCTACCCTGTCTGTTGCCATGTATATTGTGTAAGTTTATTATCATCTGTACTATTACTTCCATCTAGTATAATATTATCAGCTGGTAAAACTACAGTTAATTTATTAGCAGTCTTCGCTACTGGTGGTTTGTTGCTTTCTGTAATAAATAGATAGAAGACAATTTCATTTCCCTGACAGTCAAGATCAAGTACGTATTACCAATCGAAAACATTTAAACTAGAGGAAAAACTATGTTTGCTATTTTACAAGATACTAGTACTTCTCAACAAGCACAATATAAATTTTAACATAGGTTCTGTATACTATGTGTGACATGTCCCTCAAAGTCTAGTCATAAGATTAATGTAAAACATTAGTTGACAATCTGTAAAATATGGTTCTAATCTTCTGTTTGTTAGAAACTAATTCTTTTTGATAAAAATAAGTTTTGGTTCCAGTTTGTTTCAGTGGACAAATATATATGTGGAAAATATAGCATTGACGAATCTATAAGTGGAAAATATAGCATTGACGATTCTAAAAGTGGAAAATATAGCATTGGCGAATCTATAAGTGGAAAATATAGCATCTCAATATACTAACTGGATATTGCTTAGGTTTTGGGGGTCATTAATTCCATTATAATCTTATATGGGGTCATTAATTGCATCTAAAATCTTATATGAAAGGGAAAATAGTTTTAATGTCTGATCAACACAATATCTTAGTGATCAGGGGAATATATTTCAATTTCTGGTAATTTCCTCTTACTCGTCTTTCAAAGCAATATATTATGTTCATTACAACTTCAACCACAGCCTCTTTTTATTTTTTTTAATCAGATACATTGTCCTTGTCAGTCGTGTGGGTGATTACCCTTAAAATTTCATAACATTTGGTCAGGACTTGAATAATGTAGAGGGATGGAGCAAAAAAATTGTATAAATATATGACTGACAATTTACCTGGTTTAACAAACACATGAACATCAGCTGTTGATGATTGTCCACTAGAATCTGTTACTTTTAATGTATATGTGTAGTCTCCTACTTCCAGGTTATTTAGATGTAAAAATGGTGTACGAACACCCTATAAAATACAATATCAGAAGTTTTAGTAAGAATTCTATGTGTCATGAAATTAATGCAACACATGTCAATCTCCCAAAGCTTACATTATTAGTTAATGCCCCTGTCACCGAAAACTTGTAAAAGGTTCAGGGTCCACAGATGATAGTTTGTGAGATTATATTTACAAACTTGCTGGGAATGTTTGGATAATCATAGGAACCCCTAATGTGATTTTTTGGTACAATTAGGGGCCATAATACAGGAATTTATAGTCCGATATGTGTGAATATCGAAAGAAACCAAGATCTTGTGGTTATAAACATACAGTTCAAGTTTCATCACAATCGGATGAAAATTGTGACCTCTAGTGTGTTCACCAGTTAAAAACTTGATTTTCGTACAATCAGGGGTCATAATCCAGGAAGTTACGGTCTGATACATGCCAATTTCGAAAGGAACTGAGATCTTTGGGAGATAGATCTATATTTCAAGTTTCAGCAAAATCGGATAAAAATTGTGACCTCTGGACTGTCCACAAACAAATTTGAACGGACACACAGAGGGACAGGGGCGACGACAATATACGTCCACATGAAAATGTGGGTGCATAACAAACGAAAGGGGGCAAATCCGTCAAATGATCATATATATACTTACAGACACGTCTTGTGTAACTTTATTATCAGATGTTTTCGTCCATTCATAGCTCTTAATTTCCTTATCATCGGTACTAGCATTACCATACAAGACGGCCGATGTTTGAGGTAGACGGATAACAATATCAGAACCAGCATTAGCTTTTGGGGGATAATCTGTTTCTGTGAAAACAAATTGAATATTTGGAAATCACTATGGCTGAGAAGGTTTATTGCGATTTTCCGACATCATTTCCCCCTTGTCAGTGGTGCGGGATGGAGGGCCTGACAAGGACAGCTGTCATGTTGTTTGGATGGGACGAAAAAATGAGGTTGTGTGTACATTGGCGTGCACGTAAAAGATACCCTAATTTATCAATTGGTACTGCTATCTCTGGCAAGCTTGTAGAGGAATGCATGTCAATGTGCAGCTTACAGATTATCATTAAAAATTTCCAGTGACTTGTAAAAGCAGTGCATGTCGTGTAAATATTTACTTTTGTTTTTGTGTAGGTAATTTTGAAATAAATTCAACAGCATATTATTCTTTTTTAAAAAATATATTACTTTAACGGGAAACAATGATAAAGAACTGTAAGTGGCACTAATGTTTTATCGTTCGGTGGAGCCTTTTAATAACCACGTTATTAGTTTGTGAGGTTGATATCTGGTGATACATTGTATGTACTTGAATGTGATCAAGACATGAAGAGTGGTCAATAATGTTTCTGATTTAAATAATATATGGATGTGATTTACGGCATTTCAATGTATTGTGTAACTGATTTGTCAGTGTGCGATAATGGTGAGGGTGTCCTCATTGAAACATTGTACAGTTAATAAACCTAGTGATTCTAGCGGTAAAAACCCCAAATTAAACAATACTAGTTCTGTAGTAACTGAAGTCATATTTGACAGATGGGACATAAAGATCGGACATGTCTTTTCAAAAAATAATTAGGATTATATTGAAAATAATGAGTTGAATATGTGTATGCCTTTCTACATGTCTTCTGCCTCTTAACTTCTTTCAATAAAATAAGTAAAACAAAAAGCACCAAATTTACCTTTTACAACAGTGACATTGGCTTGTGTTGAATTTGTAGCTCCATCAGAATCTGTCACAGTTAATCTAAAAATTAAAATAAAGGAAACATAAAGATTCATAGGCTGGACTGTAAAAAAAAAAAAAAAAATCAGTACATGGATATACTAGAATATGGATCATCCACAGTATATATCGCAATAAACATTTTGCTGTATGATACAATGTTTTCTCTCTACTTTCTTTTTGTTTGGATATATACTTTTAAAGGCTGGTTTCATACCATTTGTATCAATATACAATTTCTATCATTGAATTCATAGAAATTCAATTAAACCATAACACAACAAGAGTTTGCAAATTAGTTTTAGGAAAGTTCCACAAATTTATGTTAAATTGTTTCTATTGGTCTATGAAAAATTGGTCTTACTCTTGTCTTGAAAACTGATGTCTTGTAATGTAGGAAGTTTTTTTTTGTTTATTTTTAAGAACATTCCATTATTCACTTACTTAAATGTATAATTTCCTGGTGCCAGACCTTTGAGATTCAACATAGAAGCATCTCCGTTCGTCTGATGTGCTTGTAACGGACCATTCACTTCCTCCCAATGATAACTAACAATCTTATCATCATCTTTACTATCTGTAAAGTATACACTTCATACATCAATTGATTAGAAAACTCTTGGTTAATTAATCATTATCAAAAGATAACTTTGTATGTGTCAGTACAAGAATATTCATGACGTCCTTTCATGCTGGTCTGAAACAGTCATCATTTGGCCAATCATCTTTGATGTTACCTTTTACTGAGTGTTGAATCCTTGATACTGACTTTATTTAGTCAATAAAAACAAGATATATTATGGATAGACATGGCAAGGTTTGGGGGCGTTTGGAATTTTCTATTTATTTTGCTGGAACATTAATAGTTTATCCTATCAACTCATAGGTGTATTCCACACGGGTATATAGGGAGGACTGAGGAGAAATTTTTGATTTTTTTTCTAACTCCAATATCTTGTGGAACTCTTTTGACAAAAAACACCACAGACCAAAATACTCTATAAAAATTATTCTAAGTCTAAAATATTTTGGAATGTGGTGCTACACAGGCCCATAGGGAGGTGTGAGAAGAAACTTTTAAAAAATTGATTTTTTTCCCAAGTCTATGAAAATTATTATGGAATGTATTTATGTTTTTAAGTCCAATATCTTGTGGAACTCTTGTGGTGAAAAGATCCACACAAATTCCCCCAAACCTTGCTATAAATGAGATTGTGAACTGTCTCATCAGTGCACATGTCCAGTGATGCACACACACAGAGGATTGACTAGCAGATGATAAATGTCAATGTTATACTTCAATAGTCTACCCATATACTATGGTCGAAAAAGGGTTAATAAAAAACTGTTTGGCCATACATGTATCTAGTCTAATGTAATACCTGAAATGTGATTGGTCGGTGCCAGACATGAGATTATAAGATTGGTCAATGTCAGACATGAGATGAGTGCTCACACTGTCAGTCGCCAAAGTCGCAATTTGCGATAAAACTATGTAAATGGCGATTAAAATTGGCGATCATTTTGGCGTTAATGTTTTACGGTACAGGCGATTCTTTTTGAGAACTGGTGGAAAAAAATCTTCGAATTCTAATCGTATTTATCCTGCATTAACCATTATTAAGTGTCAATCACATGGCGGGATACTTTAAATTAATCAACTGGCTGATAATCCAGATCACGTCAATAAGTAATACTAATCAGTTGTCTTGGATTAATGATTAGTTGATTGATAATTGCCAATGATAAAGCCTATCTCAAGTCATTATTTACTCCTAATGATTGATCTAAGCGGTGATTATTTGATGTTTTGTTTCGTCTTACAAAGAATGGTTATACATGTAATCAAAATGTCCGACAGTTCCTTTTGAAGAGAATTAATTATTTTGATAGCTGAATTCCGATTACAGTGGTTTCATATACGGCATGTAAAATATACAAGCATGCATATCGGATATCATTATTTCAAATTATATTATTACCACTAGTTCAGTTGAAAACATATATACCACGAATTGAATAGTGACGATTCTTGAGCGAAAAAACAGTTTGCCATTTGTATCATATTTCCGTCGCCAAAATGCTCTAAAAGTTAACGACAGGTATATTGTAAGTATCTCTTACAAATATAATTGAAATTTATTATATCATTCTATAAGGGATTCAGATTCCGGAATCCTCTATGGTACCTGAAAATAACAATTTGCACCATTGTACACGCAACACATAAATTTATAGAAAATTAATTGGCAATTCCTGGATGAGATTTGACATGTTAATACTGAAAATATATTGTGCAGTAAGGTGCTCAAATAGACTAAAATCACCAAAAATAAAACCTGATCTTATTAAATCCAAACTTTGCTAATCTATCATGTAAAGACAGATTTTTAAAGTTGTTGTATATTGTATTGTATATATCGGTATTTTTTTTATAATAAGTCTAGCTGAGACACAACATTGTTAGATGTTGTCTTTTTTATCACACATTTTTGGCAGACAAAATATTCCAGTTGGCGGAAAAAAATATGAACATTTTTTTTATATAAAAATTATCATCAATTTTGGCGGAAAAAAATTGAAAGCCAGTGTGAGAACTGAATGAGATTATGTAATTGGTTGGTGCCAGACATGAAATTATGAGAGCAATAGCGGAAAACATATCTAAACTAACAGGGAAAATATATTTGTTATCAAAAAAAATTATAATATATGCTTTGAAATACTTCGAAAAAAAACCTTTTGACAATTAATGCCAAAATCATAATTTATACAAATACACTTGCAGGATGATGAATGAACAAGCTTCACCATGAGAAATATTTTATACATGATCGAGTACGGCATCACTGCATATGCAAGCTCTGTAATAATAAATTTATTTGAGACAAGTTTCTAATCTGAGGTAACCTATCTATAAAAAGACAACCCACCTGAACCATCTAGTAAACCAGAATTTGGTAATTTTATTTCCTGATTTGTTGGCTTTATAATGGCTACTGGTTCTTGATTCTTTCTTGCAGCTGAAAATAAACAACTTAACAATTAGATGGGAACTTGTCAGAATTTCTGAAATTTGTGATAAAATAACAAGGAATTTCAGAAATAATTTTCGTCACACCACAAAGAACAATCTTATTTAGGTTTTAAAATCCCAATTGAGAAATTTGTATCTGCAATTTGCAACTCGAAAAATAGATATTATCCTAATAAAGAAGTGAAAATCTACCTTTGAAACCAATATGTACAAATGACTTCTGCATTTTTCCTTATCTATTACTAGATAAGCTTTCCTTGTAAAACTTTCAGGCATTACCTCTGGCAAAGGGGAACCAGACATATACAATCACAAAATATTTTTGTTCGCAGTCTAACATCAGTGTTCCAACCTTGGCGGTTCTAGTCTTAATGCTAGGTTTCCACTGTCGTGCGATGCGTTACAATAGGATTGTCCCTATTGATACATGATCTGGTAAGTGCAGAACCATATACATATGTTTTGTTACGATCAACGTGATTCCTACTACTGACCTCAATATATGATAAGACTTGATAGTATCACCATGATTACTCCACGAGTCCAACATGAATTGTGATAGTGCGAACCTTGCATAATCGTTAATTAGATTTACTTACGTGGTAATACTGTAACATTGACTAGGCTCTCACCAAGTTTATTTTCCCCTGTCACTTGTATTTTTAACGTGTAAACACCTGCTATTAACTAAAAAAACACCAGAAATATATTTTTAAAAATTATCCACAGAAGAGAAAAGGATAGGTAACTAAGGCTGTGCAAAAATATTGATATAATCGATAATCGGTAGAAGTTATTTAGCGATACGATAATCGATATTGAAATTCAAATATCGATTATCGGTATATTTACCTTCTGACGGCAAGTTACGGTCACTTTAACATGACTGAACTTGCCGTAGTCTGGCATGCAGACAAATGAACGAATACACAACGTCAACACAACAACTATTTTCCCCCTCTGCTTACAAACTGGCACATTTTAAATATATATTATTGTAAAAAAACTAAACTTTAAGATTAAATACATTATTTTAATATTTTCGTTGTTTTTGTTGTTATTACTAGTTGAAACTAAAATAGGTCACGCACTTTCTGAACAATGACGATCGCACGTGATATAGTAAAATTAGAATTATCTCCCTTCTTTGCTCTTGATTGATTTGTAGAGAAATTGTCTGCTTTCACGATAAAACTAATTGTATTATTAATGATCAACTCAGCTTTTATTACTAAATCATGTCAGATACAGCCCATACAAAACACGTTTTTGACTTCCCGGGAAAATATCTAAATCTCTCGTAATTTCTTGGAAGAATTCTACTTTGGTTTTCATCAAAATTAACCAATCATAAAAATTCTACTCTGAAAGCCGGTAATTATTTTTTTATTGTCCAATCAATAGACGCCTTCTATTATATTTTATTCTATTTGTATTTATCGGAGATATTGGAATAAAAAAAAGGTTCAAATGAATCAAGAACAAAACTTAGCATAATACTCAAGTTAATCCTACATTTAGCACCTAATTATTTTACATTAATTGATTTTTTTACGTACATCGGCACAGTATGAGACTAGGATAATAACACTACTGTAACTCGATCAACACAAATAACAGGTCGGTAAAGTTCGTTTTTTCCGGAAGAATGATAATCGATTAGTATCGATAATTGCTGACAAATTCTTGCCGATAATCGATATTGAAATTTCATATCAATTCCCAGCCTTATAGGTAACTGTCAAAGAACAGGTGCTGCAGGAATATGAATACCACAGAAAACTAAAGATTTGCCCTTAATCAAAAATACTATGAAACAAACTGCCTGTAATTAATATAATCAGGCTGCTGTATGATGTGTTGGAAATCGCTCTCGATGGCATATAATAATAATATGTTTGTTTATATAGCGCTAATACATAACATACTGTTACATGCTCACAGCAGGGAAATCAGTTTAATATTTTAATTAATCCTGCTAACAAAGTCAGATGCAGACACTTAATCTAAAAATTGAAAAGAAACATTTTTTATATATCAATAAAAACTTACATTACTAATTTTGACAGTATCTGTATTTTTGCTAGCTATTTGACCTTTTTCATCAGCACCATTAGGAGATGATACCAGAGACCATGTATAATGATATACCTCTCCTACAAAATACAAAAAGAATTGAAGTCAAACTCAATCAAAAACAGACGACTCAATCAACATCATATAGAATTGACCAATTGATGACGCTAAGGTTATCGTAAACTACATACATTGTTTATGGTTGGCGCTAACAGTAATCAACCAATTAAAGATACATTGTCCCGAGAGTATTTATCGCCTGGTTATTTCCCAAAAAAGTATGGCAAATTTGTTTTATATGGAAAGTATAGACACCCAACCTTACCAGAAAAATACTGGCTTACACGAAAGACAACAATAGGGCAAGAACTGGGCAAAAATTTCAGGGTATCACAAACTGGCAACCCGACTGTTGTCTGCCAGCTTATTGTGTGCTAGCTTGACTGGGGTTGGGCGGTTCATCAAATGGTTAGGCGGTTTTGGGAACACAGAGAGGAGTGTCTGCAATTAAATGGCAGAAAAATAATTAAATAATTTTTTTTAGGCCTCAATATGTATGGTAAATCGACAGTAAGTAATAAAAAATAGATTGTGAAAAATGGACCCCCCAACATAAACATAAAACATAATTTTGAGAGGGATTTGAAGCAAACTTTGGATAGAATTAGTCTGAATATGTTTTAGTCCAAATATATCACCAAATCACACAGTTTGTGCGTGGGAAAGTATCTTTAAGATCCCTGGAATCACATAATATCTATGACCAATGGACTAAACATTTATCAGACATCTTATGGAGAGAGAGAGAGAAATAAGGTTTAACGTCCACTCGACACAAACTAGGTCATTTCGGGACAAACCCATGGTTTAATTTTATTTCAATAATTCGCATGCGCATAGGAGTCTTTAGCAGTGGGAGGATACCTGAGGACCCGGAGAAAACCCACGAGGTTGGACAGGCAACCCTACTCCTTGTCACGTACAACCGGGGATTCGAAACCACACATCTTATGGAAATATAGGTAAATATTTGTAGGTAAATATTTTCATGAATTATTTCATTAAAATATGAAATATAAACAAACCTTCTGGTGCAGAGGGTACAACAGCAGCTGATAACGACACAGAATTTTCATTAGGTAGCTGTATAACTTTAGGTTCACCAGCAGATACTGTTAACTTGGTTACTAAAAATACAAACAAAATATAGCAACAATGATATTAGTATTACAACATATCATCTGGGTCTTGTCAAATTGTCCAGGAGAGCCAATGAATATCGAAATGAAATGAAATGGAGTTATTAAAATTTCCTACTTTTCTGCTCCGATTGGGCTAATAAAGACAGGTTTATCCCATGCAGTGTGCTATGAGGGAAATTATATCAAATTCCAACTGTCAAGGGTTCTTTTACACGCCAAAGTTAAAATATGGGATCTTGGTTTTTCATCCCAACCAAATGACTAGACACTGTTCCTTGTCCTGCCCTCCGCCCTTTACGACTGAGAAGGGGAAACCCGAGAAAGTTTCTCGGCCAATATCAGAAGCAAACCTCAAACCTGAGACCTCCTGGTTAGCAAGCCAGCATCTTGCTCACTGAGCAAACGTGGCTCCCCAAATGAATAACAAAATATTCCATCTCTTAAACATTACATTATGATTTACTCTTACAGTCCACATCCTTCCATTCTGATTTAAAGTAGCCAAGTCTCTAACTCAATATCATCCAAAATCTTCGACATCGAAAACACAATTTATTTGTCAATTTAAATCAACATTGGTGTTGTGATCTAACGGGGGAAAGATGGGCTTCTGATATCCAATAATTAAGATAAAATAAACATTTTACCGTTGGTGCATTTCAGAGCCATTTTTAACAAGGCTAGATATATTCCACAAGTCATGTCAAACGGTGACGTCATATTCTTATCTGGAGAGCATGCACAATAAATACTATCGGTATAGAGTGGAATAACCAGACGCTAGAGATCGCCATTGGAATGAGTCTTCTGGCGTATTTCGCCGAACATAACTGATTAGAAATTGCAGTAAAAACAGAAACGACTGAATGTAAATTAGTTCATATACATTCACATTACATTATTATATACGTTGCGACCCATTTGTGTCAATTTCTAGATCCAAATATTAGCAATTTAGCTCCTTTAATGAAACAAGGATATTGAACTGAAATCAATATTTACCTTTTACTGTTGTACTGTGAGGTATGGCAGCTGTCTGAAAAGGAAAAATTCCATATCAACATTAATTTTCCTAAAAACTCCGCCCAAATGTGTAAAAATATTCTGTAGTTAAAGACGCATTATGTAAGATTTAGAGAAAGAGTTGTCCGTTCTTGTTATATTAGTTCAAAAATAGATAATGGAAAATGAATATATTGAAAATTTCATATAAATATTTTTATTCAGAGCAAAGTAATCATTGTTTAAAGTTTTGACAAGATGCGGCATAGATTGTTTATTATCATAGCATCACATGGTCTAGAGAGTTGATTATTGGCTTGCCATGTGAAAAAATGTCTAAATAATAGTTAATATAACATTTGAAGTCAAAAGAAAGATCTGCAATAGGCAGCAAATTTAGCTATTACATTATACGGCTGTTCAAAAAAACACATTTAGGGAAACTTAATATCAAGAGAAACACAATGTATTTTAATTTGTATTATAGTATCAGAATATGTATATCACAATAAATCTATAGTCAACAGCTGTACATTACACTGTAAACAATTAATGAAACTTATGTTCGTAGGTGTAACCCTCAAAAGGAACAATTATTTTCACATGACTTATTGTTTTATTTTCAGTCTTGATACGACATATCATGTACGCTACATATTGATTTTCAGTCTTTTATTCAGATCTGATAGTTACATACGGTATCTATATAATATTTATATTTCTAGTCTACATATATATACAGTGAAATCCTGCATAACGACCAACTCAGTATTACGGGCAACTTACGCATACGACCACATATTAAAAGAACCAATTTGTTCCTTCTATATTCCTTATAAATTGAACTCAGTAATATGAGCAACTCACTTTTACGGATTAAGACCACCGAAGCCAGTCCCAATCCGTCAATTTCATTGTTTTTGTGACTCGCGATAAGAACCACTGATTGGGATTAGTCAGCTCCCAACCGAGATCAAAGCGATAACGACCACTGACAGGGATTAGTCAATCTAACGATCAAGATCAAAGCAATCAATAAGTCGAGGTTAATTGATTTCTTATTCAACCTTCATCTGCGTATACGATTAAATTTTGTCAAGATTGTCATTTCTTATTTCTTAAAAACCCTGCAGTAAGCATACTCATGTAGAATTAACCCTAAAAGCTAAAGAAGAACTTATCAAAAATAGTGAAGGTAGAAGCCAAAGACAATTGGACGAAGGATTTGGAATTGGTAAGACCCAGGTACAGACGATTTTGAAAATTAGAAAGGCAGAAATTCTTGATGGATACAAAGAAAAAGCTTTGCTATTAGCCAAACAACTAAACATTCCGGAATCTGATTTTAAAGCATCGAATGGCGGTGAAAGTGGTAGAGTAGATGACGACTTTTTGAAAGAAAGGATTGATAGGGTACTTGACATAGTCATTGGTTACGAGGCCCTGGATATCTACAACATGGATGAGACAGACTTACTGTTATGCTTTGTGTCAACATGTTGGGAGAATTTGAAAAGCCCTTCGTTTTAGGCAAGGCTGCGAAGCCACGGTGCTTTAGAAATTTGAACATTTCCCATCTGCCGGTTACGTGGAGATCCATTTAAAAAGCATGGATGACAGGATTTTTGTTTAAAGAATGGTTGCAGGTTTTTAATCGAAAAATGAAGATAAATAAAAAAAATGTTTTGCTATTCATGGACAATCCCCCTGACCCCCGGACCAACCCGGATATGAAACTATCAAATGAAATGTATATATTATAACTTATTATTATAATAATAGTAATAAATATTATTGATTTAATGTTTTCATGATGTGTTTTAACACATGTCTAAAGTACATGTCTATATAATTTACCTAACAGTAACACTCTGTTTTTCTTTGAAATTGCCTCAAGCATGCTCACTCAGTAATGAGACCAACTCACTATCAAGACCACATCTAGACAGTCCCATATGTGGTCTTAATAGAGGGAATTCACTGTACAAAAAACAAGTGGTTGCAATGCCAGATATGCCCACATTTTGCAAGATTTCACAGGGAACAGGGAAAATCAATAGGGCTCATCCTCTACATGCACAAAATTGTGTACACAGGAACTCGGTTTTCCGTCCCATCCAAATGACTAGACAGTGTTCCTTGCCAGGCCCTTCATCCTGCACCACTGCCATGGATGAAAGGGGTCTAATACAATCCACTGAATAATTTTGTACATACAACTTTGACAATATCGTAGTTTGAAAGAGATTCAAAATCACTCAAATGAGGATCAGCGACTTCAATTTTGAATAATATTCCAAACAGCATTAGCAGACTAACTTGCTTAAAGTAGATAGATTATCAGCCATAGTTTGACAAATTTCTCTCAAATTTTGCATACAATCAAATTTAATCATGCTGTAGCCCAGGGCTTCCACTTAAAATTTTCACTGCCGGTCATTTTTGATAATGCACGAAAACTTTTCAAAGTAAATTCATATTTCATGTTTTTTATTCATGGTAGGGTATTGTGAATTCATGTGTCTATACCACTTTGTCAGCATGGGGTACACAAAAAAATATATATTGGAGTGAAAAATTAAATATTAGTAAGGCTTATGATAATTATTTATTAATAAAATATTCCGTTTTGGCTACTTTCCCAGAAAAGTATTTATCGGGTGGTTATTTCCAATAAAAGTATGTCAAATTTGGTATATATGGAAAGTATAGACACCCAATCTTACTAGAAAATTACTGGATTACCCAAAAAACGCCCATGGGGCAAGCACTGGGCAAGCACTGGGCAAAATTGTCAGGGTATCACTAACTGGCAACCTGACTGTTATCTGCCAGCTGATTGTGGGTCAGCTTAAGTGAGTCAGCGGTTGTTATTTCTTGATCAAATGGTTAGGCAGTTTTGGAAACATTGAGGGGTGTCAACGTACAAAAGACTCTGCAATTAAACGCCGGAAAAAGAAGTTAACAGAAATAATTAAGAATTTACATAGGCCTCAATATGTATGGTAAATGTACAGTAAGTAATGATAAATACATTCTGAAAAATGGACCCTCCCACAACGAAGCTAAGTTGACAGACATTGCGTCTAAGAGCAGCTTACTTATTGCTATAGGTATCCCCGGCGAATACATTTATTGGTTTTAGACCATCTCTTGCTGAATTATGGGTCGCAGAATTGTGACTTAAATCCTAATGATGTACAACTAAATGACTTACGGATAACTAACTTCACAGCTAGCGACACTAGCGCCCCATAGAATATTGTCGTGTATAGGTTTACACAACATTTTTGCTACACATGGAATTCTCAATACTGCTGCAGAATAGAACTGGAATACGTAATTTTCTTAATTTTTCAGTAAGCAAGTTATCTAATCTCTAGATTTTATTTCTACAGTGTAGCCTGTATTGAAATCATATCAAATTGAAAATTTATTTTAACCCAGCAGACATGTGATGGGGTTTAACATCCACTCGACAACAATTAGGTCATTTTGGGACTAATATATGGTTCAATTTTATTCTATTAATTCACTTGCACATAGGGGTCTTTAGTAGTGGGAGGAAACCGGAGGAACCAAAGAAAACCCACAGGGTCAGACAGCCAACCCTACACCTTGCACATACAAACAGGGAATCGAAACCATGCCACTTGACTCAATGACAGACCTTATGATGCAACAACCCACACGCGTTAACCATTCGGAAAATGAAATAGTTTAGTACCAAAACAAATGGTTTCCTGACAATGTCCTGTAAAAAGAATGTTGAGCATCAAATTGCCACTGGTAGAAAACAAATTTAGCTGTATGGGAATGTGAAATTTGGCAAGGAACTTCTTGCTCCTTTGATCCATCAAGGTGAAATTTTCTAACAAAAGTCATGCAGAAGTTAAGGGGACAAAGTAGAATAGATATATGGAACAGACGGTGACTACTATTAAAAAAAAAAATCAAGAATCTTACCGTGCCTTGTTCTTGCTCTGAAAGAAAAAAAATAATCCATGAAAAATACAACTGGATGAAAAGGCAGTGGAACATTCTTCTGTGCAGAGTGAAAAACATCAATGTTTAGTTTCAAACTCATAAACCTCCATGCAGTTATTGATAACATCATCGACAACTTCATCACGTGAAGTCATGTGTATTAACTCTCTATACCCAGTCATTCTCATTTCCATTTGTCCCGCAGAAAACAACTTGTTACTGGTATCATAATGAATGTCATTTCATTTCTACCCTCATTCAGTAAAAAGATAGACCCAGTCAGCAAGAACTACATTTTGATTAACTTTGTAACAGATGTCTGGTGAAACAAGGCTATCTGTTACAATAAGTCAATGGGAATGACGTATGATACAGGTGCACCATAATTCATATTGAAACTTACTTCATTAATGTTTGTAAGCCAGCAATAAAATAATTACACTTCATATTTAAAAACTTTTGTTATCAACAGATGGTCATATTCGCATTATAAATTATAATAAATGTATATATCATATACTATAGAATATTATATTTTTTGTGCTGGAGACCATTGTTACATGTCCTAGGACATACCAATTTGATTTTCTGTTCTTTGGGAACCCATGTAAAAATTCTCCTTATTACTTTGAGAAAAACTTCTTTAAAAATTAAAAATACTTGGCTGTGCTCTTAAAAACGTTTACAAGTAGTTCAAAATTTTTAAGTTTCGAAATTTAAAACAAAACATCTTTCATGTGATTCAAGTGGCTATTAGTTGAACAAGAACCCGAAGAAAAGAAAATCAAATGGGTGTGACCTTACTTTGTTTTAAAGACGAGCTTTTAGTTGACAAATGTTTAGTTTTGAGTACTGGTACCAATTTTTATAAACTAACCATGTGTGTAAGTATTACAATAGTAATGGTAAATGTAGTTCTTGAATGGAATGAAATGGGGTTTAAAGATACTTTCCAAGAAAAGTATTTATCGGGTGGTTATTTCAAAGTATGGCAATTTGGTATATATGGAAAGTAGAAACATCCAATCTTACTAGAAAAATATTTGATTCCCTGAAAAACACCCATCCTGTGCATACAGGATAAAAAGGTAAGGGTTTCCCTAACCGGCAACCCGACGATTAGTGATGTCTGTTCGAGTAACGTCAAAGGTACATGTAGCAGGTGAAGATTGTCTAATCGTTAGTGAGCGCTTGATGTATATGTTGATACACTTGATGGTACAACAGTTTCTGAGTTAAAAACCACAGAAAAAAACTTCGATATTTATAATAAATAATTAAAGACAACATCGTCTTGTATATACGCATTGAATTCTCCCCTGTCTCTGCACCCGTTGCTAGGTACCGAGACAGCTTAGTCACGTGAAACAAACATGACCTCTTTTGATCAATTTTTTATAGCAGGGGTATTCTCTGACAATTATAATGTTTTGAGAAGAATCGGAAGCAAAATTATCATAAATTAATTAGTTTGAATATGTTTTTACTCCAATTATATCATCAAATCATCCAGTTTGTACGCAGGAATGATGACGTGCACATTCCAATGCAGTGTGCTATGAGGAAAATTTAGCTCAAATTGAAATGAAATGGGATTTAACGTCCTACTGTTCTGCACCAACTGGGATAATAAAGACAAGCATATATGCTATACAATGTGCTATGTGCGAAATTTTTAATTGACAGCAGCACTACTACAGCCTACTCTTATTTCAAATTACAACTGTCAAGGGTTCTTTTAAGTGCAAGCCAATGCATACACTGGACCTTGGTTTTCTGTCCCATCTGAACAACTAGACAATTTCTAGAAATCCTAGCTAGACCCTCTGCTCCACACCAGTAACAAGGGGAAACCACGCTGGAATATCCTGAAGTTTACACAGCCAACACCAGGATCAAACGTTGAACCTTTAGGATAGTGATTCAGCGCCTTAATCACTGAGCCACTGTGGCTAATTTGACCAAACAGATGCGCTACACCTATGGCCTACTTTTCAACTTCCAGGGGATCAAAATCATGATGCAAATGTATGGAACCTAAGTTTTTCATCTTATCTGTACGACTAGACTCTTTTTCTTAACAGTCCCGTAAAAAAATGTGCATTACAGATGCATTATCCAAGATTTATATGAAGACCTGGTCATTCTTGCTATAAAAGTTCAAATATAGACAATGAAAAATGGATATTGAAAATTTCAGTCAAATCATTTTATTCTGAGCAAAGATACGAGTGTTTGATGTTTGACAAGAAACAGCCAATTATCAAGTACGTGTACCATTGCCATGAAAATAAACAAAATCGCAATTGTCAATCCTTTTATTGACTGACATCCATATTAACTAATAATGGCTCGGGTAGTCTAATCCATTCAATAACTCGGCCAGCTGCTAGTCCAGAGAGTTGATTATGTGCTTGTCATGTGAATATATGTCTAAACAATAATTTATATAAAATTTGAAGTCAGAAAAAAGAACTGCAATAGGAAGATTTAGCTCTTGCATATAATGACTCTTCAATTATATACAAGTTCTAGAAGTTTCCATAACTTTTTAGAACAGCTCAGTTTGTAACAATTTAACAGGTTGAATGATTACTACAATCTGATAAAAATAAACCGGTGAATGTATTAATACATATATTAATTAAGTATTGTCAATGAATTAATGGCGTATCAAATAAAGCTTAGCTATGTAAATAAATGTTATAAACAACTAAAATATTAATTATTCATGGCAGACTGTTGTAATCAACTTCTGTAAATCAATATGTATATCTCCCATTAAAAACTGACACGTTCATCAGATATTTCAGATATATTCTGTCTGAAGATTAATCAATGGGGAAAATAGCATGGAAAGTAATCCAAGAGCTAAGGAAGGTTGACATGTTAAAGTTAGTGATAGAAGACTTAAGTTTGTGGACCAAATCTAAACCTTGGAAAAAGCCTGTCTATATACGTCACGAGGAAAAAATACATGAGAGACGTTCAAACAATGAAAGCATCTACAAATAAATCTTAATACTGCATTCAAATTTTGTTTCAATGGCATTTAGTAATTGAACTGGAATATATAGGTCACAATTCTCTGGAATACAATTACTGCTTATTGCTGAGCAACGTTTCGACTAGTCTTCTCTAGTCATTGCTTGATAATGACTTGAGAAGCCTAGTCGAAATGTCGCTCAGTAATAAGCAGTAACGGTAAATGTATTTCAGAGAATTGTGACCTGTAGACTGCATTCAAAGGTTTTCAAATCAAAATATGTCCACTAATTGTTAAGATAAAATCAAAGATTAAAAAACATCATGTTTCTTGTACAGTATCTCATAGAATAATACTTTAAAAATAAAATCTGCAAAATAGCAACTAAACTACGATAAACTTGTTTAAGAAGGCCTAATATTGAGTTTAACAAAAAATTCTCAAAATATCTAATAAAATATATATGTACCATGTTTTAAAATGATCCACACATAACTTGACAACATTATGATTTAACAATTGTAGTACCCCAGCAGAAAAAAATGAATGAAAAATTGAAATTTCTAAATCAATATATGTTCAATAGTGAAATACGCAAACAGTCAAAATTCATTGGTAGTCATTTAGACTGCTTAGTTGATCCTAAAGATTTTTTTTTTTTATATTATTATTTTGTCATCTAAGAATCAGCCAGTTTTAATTACTTCCACAATGTCTTCTAGGATGTTTTTCTTTGTTCATTACAAACGTCACACAAAACCATATTGTGTATACTAATTTTAATATGTTTTTTTTTTACTGTGTCTTAAGTATTGGATATTCATGTTTTTAATTTCAAATATTATGGATAATATATATGGAGTTACAGGTTAAGCTCTTTTACAAGCGGTAATGGTAATACACATTAATTTCCTTAAAAAATCAAAGCAATACTCCATAGCAATGCTCACACTGTCAAATGGCATTTCCACCAATTGCAATAAAAATACAATTTTGGTAATAAAGTATTCAATTTGGCGATAACTTTTTCCAGTATGGCGATTCTTTTTTAACCGTGGCGATAATTTATTTTTGTCACAAAGCTTTGATTTCCAATCCGTTACAGTCTATTGCGCTTCGCCGAGTCAGTTGACAATTATCAATAATAGGGCTATCTTTTGTCTATTAATCAATCTCAGATTAGTGTTGATAAGTACTGACAACAAGAGTATAGTAATAAACTAATTAAGAAGAGATAAAAGATTTAATTATTTGTCTTCAAATACAAATCAGGGCTTTTTTGATGGTTCCTACATGTACATGTACTGTACATGTATATAATCAAAATGGCAGACACTATATATATGAACAATAGTCATTCGATTTGTTTGGGATTATTGGAGACAAATGGGGTTTAATGGGCCTCTGCAAAGCAGAGAAGAATTTTGTAAATTGTATAACATTGTATGTATATTTTATGTATTATATGGAAGTAAAAGAAAAATGTAATAAATATTACTGAAAAAACCTAATCGATATTTTTTTTTATTATGGTTAATAAATTAAAATGAAAAACTAGCGGAAAAAAAATGGAACCCCGAGTGAGCACTACTCCATAGCAACCAAAAATAGTAAAATTTCATGGATTTGTGATCTGTCTATACCATATCTATATTATTGAGCATTTTGAATATAAAACTAATGTCATTTTTCTAGACAAATATGTTTCGTGTTGCATTTGAAATAAAGCGGCCTGCGATAGGCATCTCATTTCTTAAGAGCTGGTCACATGTTGCTGAAAGTTTTGAAAATAAAATTGAGTAAATAAATTTTCATATTTTGAATAAATTAATTTCATGATAATGCACTGATAAGTACAGATCTTTTTTTTAAACTTTTAGATTGTGCTGAATGAAGGTTGTAGGCAAATTCAAATTACCTAAGTTATGAAATATTCCCAGATACAAACCAATAGAAAATTTTGTTTAATGGCCGGGGGGAGGCAGTTCCACCGTCCATACATGTATATTTCATTAAATATGGTTTTATTAAATTATCAACTGTACATTATATCCCAGCTCCACACAACCTACATGTAGATCTGCCCTGAAATTCATATTAACATTTTAATCTTTAGAATTGATTTACTTGGTCATATTTGAATACATATAATGACTGTTTGTTTCCAAGATGGCTGCAGATAACAATATTATAATAATACATGTATATAAATATGTACATGAAATGGGTTGTATAATAAAACATTTTATTTTTCCTAGTTTATGAAACTAAAATTTATGTTCTGACACATGTATATAAATCGATTTGATTATAAATTTTATGGTTTTATTTTCAATATGCCGGTTGAAACACAGACGCCTAAAAACATGGAAAATCGCTTTTCAAAAATTACATTAGGCCGAGACTATATTATGTCTAAAATCTTCATGTACTACGAAAGAGATATTAATAAATTAAAGGGCAAATAAAGTATCTGGAAATGGATTCTTTCAGTAGATGTTATATAACAAAGTAAGAAACAGAATTTGACACCTTGGAGCTTACTCTTTAATTTTCTCCAAGATATCAACCTTGTTCGGCCTACAGATCTTTACTTGCCAATTCTCTGGGAGCATTGTACTTGTAGTTACATGTACTAACAGACAATTTCCGCAACAAGAATATGATTCTGTTTTTTAAATAACATTGTAGGTACATGTATATGTATCTGTCGAACGGTCAGCATTAAATAAGTATTTTTGTTTAAAAGTGTCTGCGAAAGAAAATAGAATGATGTTTAATGACCAGTCAAGACGACACCTACATGTACAGTACATCCTTTTGAGATTCAATGTTTAGATTCAGGAGGAGAATTTGACTCAGACAGCATCCACTGTAACCCAGGTATCATTTAATCTTGTGTATCTAGCACTAATTTCTATCACATTCGTTTAATATCAAATCTTTGTTTAAAAATTGGTAAAAATTGTTTAAAATCACCATAAATCGTTTAATTTGTACATGTGTCCAGTTTAAAGCTGACTGATTAATTTTGATAATGAGTGTCCAATTTACAAGTATTTAATTTCCTGATCACTGTTCAAAAATTAATCATTATACATCATTAATCAATTGGGTTGTTTATTTTTTAACAATGATTGAGAAATTAAACACTTGTAAATTGGACACTCATAATCAAAATTGAATGGTCATCTTTAAACTGGACAGAAGTACAAATTAAACAATTTATGGTGATTTTAAACCGTTTTTACAAATTTTTAAACAAAGATTTGATATTAAACGAATGTGAAAGAAATTAGTGCTAGATACACAAGATTAAACGATACCTGGGTTACAGTGATCATTTCCGACTATTCTTCTTAAAGAGGCATTATGGATAATTAATTAAAGAGCTGACAGTTCTCGCTATAATAGTTAAAAAAAACTAGATAAAGTAATGGGAATATGCTGAAAATTTCAGTCACATTACTGCACTCTGAGCCAAGCAATACTAATTTTAAAAACACTGTATAGCCTTGGCTGTCATTGTTACCATTGTTGCGATAATAAATAGTCTTGATTATCCAGTTTTACAGTTTATCATGAACAGTACCATTGAAATGCAGATTTGATTCAAATCTAATGAAAATTGGACCCATCACTCAGATGACATTGAGAATTGATTTTGGTCTTGTCATGCTTATAAATGTCTAATTAAAAGTTTATATACATGTAACATTACAGGCCTAAAAAAAGACCTGCAATAGGCAGATTTAGCTCTTAGTGTAAAAATAAAACTAACTATTTATAAAAGCTAACTCTAGTGGACTTTCAAATCAATACTTTTCCTAAAAAATTTTGAATTGTGAAAAAAGATTGACAATCATCAAGGAGTTACTTCCCTTTTATCATAATTATTCAACTGCTCAGAGACATCAGCAAAAGCTAAATATAGTATGCTGTAATCCAAACTGTTCTATGCCGTTATCAAATTTTCAAATTACATGGTTTAAATGTACATAGCTATACAATATAATTTATGCGCCATGAGCACGTTTTGTGGATATAGAGCTTTATAAATGGACATATTATTATCATGTAAATGGGGAAATAGAAAAGTTAATTTCAGTCACCGTACTGAAAGCGGTTCCGAGACCACATCACTTCAGTGGTCCAGATTGGCACGATTCTCTATATATTTGACCAGATTACAATACAAAAAAAAATAAACAGTTCCATTCTAGACACTATTCCTGGTACACTTAAATTTTTTATTGTAAACAAAAGTTTTATTGTATTTCACACCGTATTTAACACTTTACTACTAAATTACAGTTGTTAGCAAGTGTGATACTGTGATAGGCTGAAAGTAAACTGTTTTGTTGCCAATATCTGCACTAAGCTTGATTTCAGTTTTTGTTGCTAGAGAATGTTTTAGAAAATCAATAATAAAAAAAACTTTGCATTCAGTGAAATATGATTTGCCCAATTGTGATTTTTGTGTTGAAACGACTACAGACTTCTTGTTTAAGAGCTAGGCTTTGGGATCGACAACAGTTTTAACGTCAAACGGTCAAAGATCAAAAGTTTGTACTTACTATCTGGAGAAACAGTGGTATTAGCTGGAGGAATACAGTTTCCTAGACTTGACCGTTCCAGTCCCTTCTTACAATGACATATTCCAAATCTTGATTTGTTATCCTTCCGCAGAACACATTCTTCATCATCAGAACACTGATCTCTGATACCATATTCACATGACTTAACAGTTGGTGGCGACGATTCTTTAGCTGCTGGATGGTCATAAACTGAAATACAAAAATTATACTTTCAAAATGAAATGAAACAAACCAAATTCAAATAGATGACACTCATAAAACATGCATTATCAAGAGCTAAATCTGCCTAATGCAGATCTTTCATTTGGCCTCAAATGTTATAAATCATTTTTTAGACTTATTTACATGCACATTGTACATGACAAGCCCATAATCAACTCTCTAGACAATAGGATGGTTGTGATTTTGAACAGATTGAAACATGGTCACCATTTAATAATTCAATTTCAAAATGGATAATCCAGACTTTGTTGATAACAATGGTGTAGCAATGACGATCTAGGCTACATTGACGCTTAAGTAATAAGAAAAAGCAATGGGACATGGCTCCCAGTGATTGTACAAGGACTGGTTTAAGACTTTCTCTTTCGTAAATTGGGAGTAGATTTCCTATCCCTTGCTACCAGCTGGATATTGTTTTGGTAATGTTTTTCACTTCTTGCACTGCTCAAGAAGTCTGCACTGAGCTCTAGAGGGTCCACAACAACCTTTGTATCTGATAAAAACTGTGACCTCTATAAGATCAACAAGCTAAAAACATGATTTTTCATACAATCAGGGGCCATAAGTCAGGAAGTTACGGTCTGATATGCACAAATATAAAGTAAATCAGATAAATCAGATAAAAATTGTGACCTCCAGAGGGTCCACAACTTTGGTATTACTTATTTTTACACCACTGGCGCACAATGGGCAGCCATTTTGTCAGGCAGTTTATGGCCAATTATTACGAAATTCAAACTCAACCATCATTAGGGTGTAACGGTTAAATATTTAAATTATTTATATAATCAGAAAGAAATCACAATTTTTTCGTACAATCAGGAGTCATAATCCAGGTGGAAGTTACAGTCTGATATGTGCGAATATCGAAAGAAATTAAGGCAGAGATTGTGAAAATAACATTAACTCAATTTTCTAAATTTCCTCATTGCGACTGAATTTGCCAGCACAGGTCACATCCCCCTTTTCAATATCTACTTTTTAAACTATTATAGCGAGAACTGGCAGCTCGTTATCTAACACAATGTATCTTTATCTAATTATTTGCAAATTTATCGTGTTTCAATACATCAACAAATAAAATTGCTCATCTCCGCTCAGCCTAAGCAGAGAAAGAGAAAGAGAAATGGTGTTTAACGTCCACTCGACCAAGTAGAAAAAGCTCATAATCAACCAAAGTCAAGACATTCAATTACTGAACATCTACACAAGTTTGAACATTATAGTTATATGAAATCTATTTGAAGCTTTTATTGCATCTGGAGTCTTCACCAATCAAATTGTTTATCTCTGACCTGTAGGACATATACTTGTGGACGAATGACAAGAGTACATGTATATAATGACAATAATCAGTTAATTCCTGAATAACTTTTTGGTGTATAAAATGGGAAAAACCCATATAATTAGATTTTGGCAATATGTCCATTTAATATCGAACTACTGCTGACTAAAGTTTTTAAATAATATAACAAACATTTCAGGAAACCATTACAATAATAATATTAATGATGATAAGAGTGTCCCCCCATAAAAAAAAGTAGGATTCTATAAATTTTCTGTGTTATATTAAATTCACAGCAATTGTTTGGGTTTTTTTTTTGTAGTTTTATAAATCAATATGTCACTATTTCAGAATAGTTTGTATTGATTGTAGCTCAGCATTATGCAATTTGTCATTTTAAAATTGACTTTATTAGATATTTCCTATTGATCAGAATGACATGTTGACTCTACAATGTCAGTAAAGTTGGTAGGTGAATAAAAACAGAAAATTTTAAGAAAACTTAAAGAAGCTGCACCAGAAATGTTTTTTTTTTTTTTTAAAAATGTGAATTGTAACAAAGATTCTTTAGAAATGTTTATCCTAATCACATACAAATACTGTATCTATCTAAATTAATAAAAATAGTTAAGTTTTATTTTCATTCAAAAATAGAGGATCCCCGGCAAAAAACTTCACAACACTGTGTAGATGGTTTAAAAAATTATAATCTAGGTCTGGAACATGTTTCGGGCTGTGCGCCCTTCATCAGCCAGAGTTGGTTACATAAATGATATAACAAAATAATCCGGGCTATATATACAAGTATTTGGTGCATGCGCCTTAGTCTAAATTTATATAAAAAATAATCCCTAGACTGGGATTAGAAAAAATGAAGGTTTTTCAAATAGTGTGAATAAAAAACCCATAAACTGGGATTTTATTTTCATTGATGAGAGGTTTCCAATCTGACAGCTGCAGTAGTGTCTGGATAACCAAATCTTAAGTCTGCTTTTGTCAGGTCACTCACTACACATAAATAAGATATAGACATGTAAGTAACCCATAAACCAATTTTAGAAATGATGTAAAAATGGCACAATTTTTTAAATTATATAAGATTTGGATAAACGACCATTCTTAATATAATAGTTAAAAAAAAAAAGATACATGTAATGAATGAATGTATGTGTTTGAAATTTTGGCAAGATCGACTTGATTGTCAATTGCACCATTGCTATGTTATAATCTATGCAATATCAAAGCCATCCGATGGTCTAGAGAGTTCATTATTGGCTTGTCAAATATTTGAAGCCCCCACACCCACCAAAAAAACTGCAATAGGCAGATTTGGCTCTAGCATAATGCATCGTCAATGTTTGGAAACTTTCAGACAAAGGACAAGGTAACAAATAGTCTTCTCCTTTAATTACATGTATGATAATTATTCCACCAACAGACTAATCAATTAGTCTGAACATGGATCTTAATTATAAGGTCCATGGTCTGAGCACTATGAACTAAATCTAAACCTGTCAGTAGGAACTGAAAGCCAATTTAGACCCAAATATTCCAAACCAATCTATCTATTTTCCACAGATTGATCTTACTTATGGCAAAACAATGACCTTGGTCTATTTTGGCGTCAAAGTCATTGACATAACGATCACTATAAGCTAATCTATCTCTTTAATTCTATACTAATCAACTACTCTCCACTGACATCTTCATTTCAACTACACCGTTACCTTAAGGCCACACCAATTTTGAATTTTAGCACTTTGGGAATACTTATTAAAAATGCACTTCTCTTGCATTTCAAGCAAACTAAAAAATGACATGGTTGCTTTTCTCAAAAACTTGGCGCTAATATTTTAGTTACATCCCTTAAGACAGGCTACAGTATTTACATGTATCATGATACCGAAGAACGAAAATTGAAACCGGTTTGGCTTGAGAATATCATCGTCTGTAGTTCTAATATGAATATTCATAGACCATACTTAAGACTTAGTTAATCAATTGAGAGACTCAGATGTCAATTTGATGAGAATCTAGTTAATTACTGTCACTAGGAGTTTGAACCCATCCAATAAGATTGATTAGTTGCTATAGGCATTTTATTGGGTTAAAGTGAATATAAATAAACAGTAAATACATGTATGTTTATGTCACACTGTTAAGCTTTATATAGATGGTATCTGGATTTGGATGGGTATATGCATGTACATGTAAGCTATATTGATAGGTCTTTATTAGCCCAGTCGGAGCAGAACAGTAGGACGTTAAACCCCATTTCATTTCATTTATTTTTGGCTTCAAATCTTATATATAAACTATGATTTAGACATTTATTAACATGACAAGCCCATAATCAACTCTCTAGACCATCCGATGTCAGACACCTGTATCTAGCGGAGATTAGAACACCGGCCTACTCTTATATCAAATTCCAACTGCCATGTTATGCATGCAAATGTGTACACAGGACTGCAGGTTTAATTCCCTTAATTACTATACATGTATGTATATGTAGGCCCCCTGTCCTGCATTACTGGCAAAGAGGAACCACATCAGAAACTCCCAATGAACTTGTGTGGCCAACACCAGGATCGAACATCAGACCTCCAGGTTAGAATGCCAACATCTTAATCACTGATGAGCCACTGCGGCTCAATAAAGGAGCATACATGTAATTGAAATGTAAATTTTATAATTATTGTTTATTTTCCTTGACTACCTTTCTTTCAATTGAGGAAAATGAAACACAACTTTTATTTGCTGAACATGTTGTGTTGAAAAATCTATTTTGACAATTTGCAGTGTTTACATTTATTTTAAAGGTATAATATCCAATCATTCAAATGTTATTTCTCTACTGAAGTTAACCATCCATTTAACTTAGTATAATACGTTCAGACATGAAAGATAAAGACCGAGAAATGTTGTTTAAAGTGACAATTTAGGGACTAACAACATATGGTACAATGTATAATCTTATCTAATCTTTAATTCTTCACATGACCACAGGGTTCCCCAGCAGTGCAAGGAAACCAGAGAACCCACAAAAACCCTGTGGGGCATTGTATACTATATGGTAGACAAACTAATTGTCACCTACAATTGAAAAGACTGAACTGACAGTCTGCAGTACAATGACAGACAGGGACATGATTTATTTTATTAATTTATATAACAATATAACTGCTACTTTAAAAAGTCAATGATTCTATTGTTAACCATTAGACAATTCACGCAACTTATTCAATGTCAATTATATATTATATGACATAAACACACAGTGGACACAGATCTCATTACAAAATCAACACCAGACCCACAATTCACCATGATATTTGCTTAATAAATCACTGATTCATTGATTTTGCCGTAGCTAGTAATGTACATTCGTTAGTTGAAAACAATTATCTTCCTCTAAGCCATTATAAACTGGCTAAAACTCTAAAGTAACTTGTTTCCGGGGTATAGCTAGTCTATCCGACTCCACTTGGGTTTGTAAATGGATCATAATTGAAATGATCGCAGAAGTCATTTTGTGTACATGTATGTTCATTTTAAATTTTAGGGATTACTATGACATTAATAAAAAGAAAAATATAATTTTTGTACAAATATGAGTCAGGGCTTGATTATGCTAGATGTTTCAAGTGGGACTTATTTGACCACACCCAAGTGCAACCTG